TAGTTAAAGATAAATTTATAAATCCTAAATGAAGGCTGTTCAAGAAGGATACCTATTGTCAGAAGGCGTTTACTTACAATACACTCTAGTGTGACACTAGCTTTATTATTGAAACACGAAACATCGTCAAAGGAAGTTTATAAAATTTCTAATATACGCCGTAGTTGCATCGAGTTAATTAGAACAAATGTGAGAGTTTTGTTAGCTATAATAAAACGGAAATTTCAATGTCAAGAGATAAACTAAGATCTTTACATTTCTAGAACTATTATATTACGACGCAACCACCTTTAGAAGCTCAATGACTATTGCTTAGAACACGAGAGGTCCTAGGTTTGAATCCCGGGAAAGGAACAGAGGAAGGGCTCTGGAGCGCTGATTGTGCTTGTAATTTGAATCCTCGAGTAAACGTACTAAAAATGTGGCCGCTAGAGGCAGAGTAGCCTAACTGAATTGTTTATACTTATAATCTACAAGAGCGCAGTGACTGAAAATTGTTAACACAATTCTTACACAAATAATAGTACAAATTTATTTAATTGCGCATTTTTATTTTTCTCCATATTGAAAATCATGTTTTTGTTATTAGGCCACTCTGCCTCTAGCAGCCTCAATTAGCCGTATCGTAAGTTTCGTCTTGTCTAATTACTCCGTAATCGACACTATACTCTCATTGTCACGCATTATAAGGAATGCATTCACAATTGTATCGAAATCGATAAAATCTGACTATCGATGCATAGACATCACCCTCATTGTCCTGTCTCCACCCCTATCATGGATGACTTTGAACTAGGCGTGAATGCCTAACAATAGCCTTTATACGCTTGTCTCGTGTTTAATAAACGAAATAAATCAACTTACCTGTTTATGTAGCATCATTGGCTATAAGTAAAATATGTAGTAAGTTAAGGACATAAAAGACACTTCAAAACGTCAAGTCATAAAAGTCAGTTAGGCTACTCTGCCCCTAGAGGCCCGAATGTCAACAGGTATATTAAAACTTCAATAATTGGTACCGATTTTTATTGGCTTAAGTCTGGATACTAGTCGATGTTTTTATTCAAGAATATGACTTAAGGGTCTCTTTATTATATACGGAATTAACATATTGACAAATTTTTTGCTCCAGAATCGAACTCCCGTCTTCACGAACGTAAGTAGTGAATGCAATTACGGTATACTTACAGTACACTTATGGTATGTCTAAAAATGATGTTTGAGGTTTCTGATCTGAATTTCATAAAAGGTTTAAAACGCCATTGATACTCTATTGACTGACTCTATGACTTTATTTTTTATAAATTATTTTTAACCGTCGGGTCGTCGTTAAAACATTTGAAATAATATATTTCAAGTATTAAACCGTTAAAAATGTTTTATTCAATAATATAACATAAATAATATATTAAAGGATCTATCAGCTATATATATCACACAAACAAGGATCTCACTAAGCATGTTACTTCAATCGACGCCCACGCATTGAACCCGAACTTTCCACCAATTAATGTCGCAATTAGTCAAATTAAAATAGGATTAATACTTTCCCGGCGTTACTAAGATATCATTAGCGGTTAAAAAGTGAATAACCACCGATGTATTTTGACCCCGTCGGCTTTCAACTTCGAGTGGGTTTCCGTGGCCATGGGGGGTCTCTGTAAAATGGCGACGCTGACTTCGCTGCTCGTAGTTCGAATTAAAGGCCCGCAGAAGGCCACACTTTAATAGAATGAGTTATGCCTCGTTCTCTATAAATGCAGTTATTGTTGACAATATCGGTACTGGCTTGTTAGCTATTTTCTGTCGCTGGTCGTTACCCTATTTCATATCTCTATTGAACGTGTAACGAATTGATTTATGCCTCATAAGAGTCGTTTATTTAGGTAATTGCTCCGGAATTGTATCTTACGATAAGTTAATATTTTATATATAACGCTGAAGAGTTTGTTTGTTTGAACGCGCTAATCTCAGGTTAGTGCATTTACCTAGGAAGGCTATAAAACATCGCCCTGTGACTAATACAAGCGAAAATAAAAATGTCTGCGACGCTATATGTCCATCTGTTAAGATTAACTTGCAAGGAAAGGAATGCGACCGACATCGTGGGTAACTTAATTTTATAAAAATGGTGTTTGCAAAAACGAAAATGGATGCCCAAAATAACGATTCTCGCGGATGAAGTCGCTGGCACACCTAGTATCTTATAAGAAGCTATACCAGCGACTTCGAATAGTTACTCTGGGCATCCAAATTAGTTTTTGCAAAACTCTTCATCTATATAAATTCAAGCTGCTACCCGACGGTCTTTTGTATATCTTTGGTAGCAATATGCAGCTAATGATCAAAGGATTTGATCCCAATTTGGTCAAATTTTCTATAACGTTTTGGATTTCATCTAGGTATTAAAATTGTATTTTCGAGTTACCAAAGCCATACAAAAAATATGTAAGCATCTTGTTTACCTGTTCACCTCTATCAAAAAATCTTACTGAGAAATTTGCAAAGGTTTAATGAAAGAAAATCTCGAGTTCATTCATATAAACCCTTTGAAACCAAGATTTAAATTATCATTTTACGTTTGAATGAATGTCTTTAAGATATAACTTGTATTTTACAACGTTTAAATTGCCATCAAAGGCTTAATAAAGTACACAATCACTCCGTAATTATATTAAAATTAAATAAGCGTACTTCACTTTCAAAGTAACTCGCGTCGCTATTACGATCAGCATTAGATACATCAAAGTACTAGTGGAAACAAAACAAATTGGCAGGAAATTAAATCATTCGTGATTGTAAATATCCTTTCATTGTCTCATCTTGTGTTTCAATAGCAAAATTATTGTTGGCAAATTTGATTGGAAAATTGTTAATTGAAATTTTGGAGACTGTCTGCAATTAGCAATTCTAAATATTTATATTGCTTCTTAATCTTAACAAACACAAATAGAAGTTGTACTAATGAACGAATAGAATCGTAGATACGTGTAGATTGAAAAAAAATACGACACGATCAGGGCTTGAACCGGAATCCACAGCGTTCTGTGCTGTTGCCGTCTCAAATTTTTTCAATCTGAAATCGATTTATAGAAAAATAAAATGTGAAAAATATTAAAGTTTTCAGTCAATTATAACCTAATATATAATTATTATAACTACAATTACAAGTCAATTGTGTAAGGTTTTCACGACCATCGTTCAGCATATCATTGGCTTTCGGGCTGTTCGGCCGATGTGAGCGAGAAGAGGTTCTCGACGTTTCGCCATCACATGCGGACGGCATGATCAGGAGATGTTAACTCCTTGATTGCTAGAAGAATTAAGTGATGGCGAAACGTCGAAAACCTCTTCTCGCTCACGTCGGCCGAAAAACCTGAAAGCCGATATGACAATTACAAGTATCGTAATAACTGAGATGCCCAAGCGCATATAATAATATAGCCATAAACATAAAGCTACTCCGTCAGTTAAAACTCGATAGTGTCCTGCACAGGTATTTATGTTATTTTTTAACTACGAAGTCATCAGCGTAGCTGTTTCAATAAACATTTGTCAAGTTAAATCGACGCGTACGCATTGCGCGGCGTCGCTGTCACCACCCGCTGTTTTCGTGGCTTTGACGACTAATAGCGGCATGTAATCCACACACCATCGTTCAACGGTCTTTTTGTAAGATGTCTGGCGTGCGTCATTGATAATTCCGCCAAATAACTAAAGCTTGTTCAAAAATTTTTACAGTCTGTACTTTGAATCCCACTTAAGTGAAAGTTTGGAGGGATACTTGTTACTCTTTATCGCAGAAATGGCTTGACAGGTTTTAATAAAAATTGCATAAACAATTGGAAATATAACAATGCCGATTTTTACAAGTACTTTCAAAAAGCACTTGAACCTAAAGTACTTACAGAAATTACAATTTAGAATTATATAAATTAATTTGTTTTTTAAATAAAACACTTTAACGGTTTAAAACGCGATATATTAGTTAAACTTATTTGAAAATGATTTTTAACTTCGGCCCGACGTTTCGTCTCCCCGTGACCACGGCTGCTGCAAAGCATCCGAAACGTCGGGCCGAAGTTAAAAATCATTTTCAAATAAGTTTAACTAATATATCGCGTTTTAAACCGTTAAAGTGTTTTATTTAAATGTGTACTACTCGCGTAAACTATAGACAGTATTTAATTTGTTTTGGCAAAAAAAAATGATTATTATACTTTCGATCAGATATTTTTGTCTCGCATCGCTTTATACCAAAAATTGTTTAACGCTGGGCGTTCTATCAAAAAAAACTTGACCTTAACGAGTGTTAAAGAATTATATTATAAAAAGGCAATTATAATATATTTCCTATTTGCACCAGTGCCTTATTGTTGATACGTTTAAATACATAAGGTAAAAACAAAGTGGTTACTTACAGTTACGTCCGTATTGATTATTTCTGTATCAATTTGAAATATATTTTACGAGCTTAGAAGTATTCTTCTGCCATCTCGTGACGAATAGAATGTTTACAAGATATCATATGTACATGCCTGCCCTCTATAACTAATAACCTACAACTATTCTACTGTTGTTTAATATGACACAATGAATCACTAGATGACGCTTATTTTAATTTATTCAAGCGTACATTTGTAAATTAATTATAATTTTAAGAAATGTATAAATATTTTGTTGTTAAAATAAATATCTTAAATGTCTTCTTACTTTTTAATGATGATTTTAAAATGAAACATTTAATCATAATTTCAATAATGGCAAACTGTAATTGTCATTGTCATTTACGAAGTGGAAAACTGAAAACAAACTTGTTTACCTTTTTTGTTGAAGTTTATTTTTTTGTGAAAATGTGAATCGTATTTACTATCGCATAAGATATCGAATTTACTTATTAATCACTATGAAACTATTAACTTAGCTACTTTTATAAAGCAAATTATAACCTATTTACTTACTTTTTACTTATTTCCTTTGTTAAACATCTAACTTTTATTATGTATCGTGCAATATTAAACGGCGCACACTTTCGTCTTCTTTGTTACGTTCAAAGACTTATCCATAAAACACCAAACTACAGTACAACAGTATTTGATACCGTCGACGCATTTTCTTACCTAAGCAGAAATGGGAATAAGGAAGACACTAGGATACCTAAACTTGGTGTCATATATAATAACTTCAGTGGACCACAACCCACAGATGAAATAAAAAATTCCATTGATCTCTTTAAATTATCCGGTCTGGACTTGGACAATGCACTTTTAGAACTTCACGATCAAAACAAGCATAAACAAATATTACGATTTGTGAATGATTGCATTGATAGAAAAATAATTATAGGTAAAGATGTAATTAAGAAGCTGTTTAGATTGTACAGTTTGACAGGAAGAGTAGAAGCCGTTGGGCTGCTGCAGAACTATTGTTCTAGAATTACACCAGACTTGCATAAAAAAAATGGTGAATTTGCTCATTATATCGCTAAAGCTCAATGCATGAAAGGTAATTCTAAAGAGGGCTTAACAATTCTGACACATGCATATAAGAAAAATGTAAACCTCAGAGCATTTTATAGGATAATCTTTAAAGAGTTAATTCACGACTCCGTCATGAACAGATCGGAGGCTTCGTTAGTTAATTTCAAGAAGTATGTCCTAGAATTTAGTAGCAGGTGGAAGGATAACTATCCATTAGTCTGCTTTTGGCATATTTGTTGGGAGAGTGACTGGTTCTCTGATCAAATGCTCGCTGATGAGTTATTAGAAGCATCTGAAGATCTTCAGAAAATTTTAGGGGGAGATGTAAGTATTTACGACAGTTTTAAATATCCAATACATGTTTGATACGAATTTAGCTTTGTCTGGTTTTTGCCCTGCTCAGCTCATAATTTACCTTCAAGCCTGGAGCACATTTTTGTAGATGTGAAAATAGATACATTGCTCATCATGTTTAAATGTTATAAGGCTAGGGTATTACACCGTGAACCTTATGTGTGTATGTCCTCTATCATAGAAGAAAAATCAAAATGTACATAAATATTAAAATAAATAAAAAATGAACTTTACTTTACCTGAGGTTTGTCTTTGTTTCAGGTCGCTGTCTATATGCCTAAATAGCCTTCAAGATTATAATGAAGATGCAGTAGCGAGATTATTACAGTCATTATTGAAATACAAAAAGATGGATGAGTACAAAAATGTCCTACAGATTCTGTTTAATTATAGATGTGAGTAACATATTTACTAATTATATGTATAATCTAAATTTTTTACTGTCCTACTAGTTTTTATACGACCTGTACATACAGAATAGTTCTGCCTACATAAATACAAAATTTTCCGTAGTCAGTGATAAGCTTTAATATATGTTGAAAATACATTTTCATTTGTGTCAAACTGATAGTTAAAAGGCATCGCCTAGTTGAGCAATTATTGGTTGGATTATTGCTTCATTTTATTAGACTTGTTCTAGTATGAATTAGAGTCTAGATAAGACACAATACAAGTAATAGTAACACAGTAGTATAGACAGTTCTTGTCTATAGTAAATGCGTGATAAATAAAACACATACCGTTAAATATTAGAAATTATTAGCTTTAGACATTAAATGTTAGATATAGGATCATCTAATATTTCGTATTTAAACGGTTAAAAGTGTTTTATTTAATATATCAAGTTACAGCTTGTATACAAACATATCGCAATCTTGTTCCATGTTACCATTTGATTTATCAGCAATTAATTAAATTTTATTGTTAACACATGTTAATTGTGTGTTTATAATTAAACAATATTTAACATATTGGGGTGAAGGACATTTTAATTTTCATTACGGGTAAATTAATGTTCAATTAACCATCTTAATATAATTTGTAACATGTTCCTTATTTTATTATTATTATGTCAAAATGTTAATTTTCTCTTATACATTATGTAGATATAATGAAGAAGTAGATTTTTTCTTGCGAGTTAAAATTCTGCTTCTTCAAATTCTAAGAATTTAAAAATCGAAAATGAGTTGAAAAAAATTCTACACGGGTATGACTGTCAACAGTCATCAGCGTTCCGTGCTGTTGTTCTACCAATTGAGTAGAGTAACAGCACTGAACGCTGTCGATGACGGTTCAAGATATAACCTTTTTTTTTAAATTTCAGTGAAAAACAAAGATCTACGCGGTTGTACCGAGATTCTTCGGAACTGCAAAGTACTGGGAATATCGCTGCCATCACATCTTCAGAGCCACTTTATTACACTTTTCATAGGAGCAAAGAAAGACGACAAGCCTCTGGCCAGCAAGCCTGAAAACTTCAAGCTTAAGTTTTAACTTTTTCTAGATACACGTTTTTTTAATTAAATTTTTCGTGAAGAGCTTACTATAGAAATGATTTGAATAAACAGACATAGGACTACAATACAGAATATAGTCAAATTAAAAAAATAATAATAATTTGACTGCCTCTGTAACTAAATAGTTATACGTGTTGCCTAGCATTGCGTTAAGCTCAAGAAGTCCTGGGTATGAATCCCAGGGCATCAATAGATTGTTAAAATAAATGTAACTTACTTGCTACAGAAGTTTTACACATTGTATTTTGATATATGAGGCCGCTAGAGTAGCCTAACTGCAAATTTATTACTTGACTTATTGTCTTACTTGCGAATTATTACCTATTTCATTATTTATTAAATTTTATTTTCCTCCTTGTTGAAAATTATGTTTTTTTGTCATTAGGCCACTCTGGCTCTAGCTGCCTCATATCTACTCACTGTACTGACCTTTATACCTTTTTGTTGCGTAGTTAGTATTGAAACAAATTGTGAATATATAATTAGTTTATTTTACACCAGTTTAATGTTTTAACAGACAACTGTGAATGACAAATAAAGTCTACTGTGTATAGTGAAGTTTTCAAATTTTTAATGTTTTTTAATATTACAGAACTTGTATTTTAAACACAAATCGCTTTAAATATTGTACAGGACGAGAGTTAGTTAAAATATAATGTAACTTGATAGTTTAGTAACGCGTTACTAAGCTATTTAGATAAAACTCCTCAAAAACGTGATAAATTATTTCGGTTAAGTAGGACACAAAAAGTTATCTGCCTCGTGTAAAACAAGACTTGTAATGCTATAACTAACGTTTTGAACCGGCATCGTCAGCGTTCCGTGCTGTTGCTCTGACGCTGCGGAACGCTGACGGTTTAAGTCCTGCCCGAGTCGAACATTTTTCAATTTATTTTAGATTTTTACATTATATACTGCCTTCATGTGCAATAACATGTAAAAAATATTAAAGTTTTCAGTATTGTTTATATTTTAATCTATACTAATATATAAAGCTGAAGGGTTTGTTTGTTTGAACGCACTTCATCTCAGGAATTACTGGTTCGAATGGAAAAATTCTTTGAAAAGGGTTGGTTAGAACATTTATCGGGAAAGGTTTAAAGCTTAGGACATTACGATACGACAAAGCACAAAAACAATGGGAAATGTGGAAAAAGTCGAGGAAAAATATTTACTTTCTGTCGCGTACAAAATATGTATGACAGAATAAATGTAAAATGGCTACGATAGTATATGTCTATATTTTAAAAATCACTGGCAAGAACGACGGGACGCGGATGACACCGTTACCAGATTAAATTTATATAGTCGAACAGTTTGACTCCCCGTGACCACGGCTGCTGCAAAGCATCCAAAACGTCGGGCCGAAGTTAAAAATCATTTCCAAATAAGTTTAACTAATATATCGCGTTTTAAACCGTTAAAATGTTTTATTTAAATTACTACAGTTTCTTTAAATTCGTTTAAATTAAAAAGATAAACGTATCTTCTGACGGAGTATGGGGACCTCACTTAACATTTCATATTTTTAGTTGTGTTTAGTTTAAATTTGATTTCTTTGGTATTCTTAGTCCATTTCTTTAGATCTGTAATTGTGTTTTCTCCTTAAGATACATTAGTTCTGGCTGTCACTCTTGGTGTCTTGTTGCAGCAACAGCTGAGTGATGTCCTTCCACAGCAAAGTATGTTAATGTTCTCCTTGGAGTTAATTGTTTTTTTTTTATTGTATAATCTTGTATGTGTACTTTCGTTTGGAATAAATTATTATTTTAATTAGAATTTAATCAGTAAAAGTATTCCGTACCTATTTCGCGTGTTAGATTAGCTAGTACTTGATAAATAGTATTAAGTGTAAGGTTGGTACTCCCGATTAAGCTGTATCTAGTATGAAACGTAAAGAGGTTATCGTTTGACCACAAGGTGGACGGGTAAACGTGGAACCAGTGCAAAGTGAATATATTCTTGGTATAGATCCTACTGTGTCTCTTAATCTATACTAATATTATAAATCATTTCGAGAGCTCTAATCTCAGGAACTACTGATTCTAATAAAAAAAAAATGTGTTGCTTGGACCATGTATCGGGGAGAGCTTTAGGCTATAAAAATCAATCTGTGCATAGGAGCGAGAAAACAGTGGGAAATTTGGAGAAAACGGGGAAAGTTCATTTTGGGGGCTTCTGTTGCGTGCGCTGCGAAAACGATTCAAGTAACCGCAAAAACTATGTCCGCAAAAAAAATGTCCCCGACAGTAGATTGACTCGCAAGAACGACGCGGACGACGTCGTGGGTAAAAGCTAAATTTATAAAGCTGAGTAGTTTGTTTGCAAAAATAAATATTATGATGCCCAAAATAATGATTCCACATATTCCACGCCGACGAAGTCGAGGGCACGACTTGTGTGTGTATAAGGCATTTACGTAGGAAAGTATCTCTTTTTTTTAATTCTATTTAGTATAGGAAAAAAGTGTTTTCTTCATTTCTGGTATTTTAATTTGCGTAAAACTACACTCTAGACAACTTTACAGTCTCCACATTTTTTGAAGTAGGTTAGGTTATAGATAAAAATATATTTTTTATCTATAGACTCTAAATGTAGTGTCGCACAGATGTAAACAGCTTTATGGCAATATTGAAATAATACGATCAGTCAATAGAAACATTAACTTTATTGAGATTTTCAAATAGGTACATAGGTATTAGCAAAAATAAACTTAACAATAATTTACATATTTATTTTTTTTATTTATAATCTATATTTTTTTTAAATTCGCTAAAATCTGGTAACTTCGTTCTCTTTAGGTTTATCTGTGGTCTGATCCTGTTCGGTCTCCTTACGCCGTATGAGGAAAAGCGATCTAAAACAAAACGAATCAAGTGAAATAAGGACTTAATAATTAAAAAGTTAGTATTATAATAAAGCCTGCGTGGTCTACTGTATCTTTATTACATATAGGATAATTTTTCTGGCTTAGGTGAAACCGTTTAATTTGGTATAAACTGGACTTCCGTGATCAGCATTCTTGTCTCATACAAAATTATAAATAAGCAGACTGTTTAATTTTGACACGTAATACCACATAGTTGACGACAGCAAAATGTATGAGGTCAGGGGTGCTAAACATTTTAACAAATAAACAACGATTCCGACTCGTAGAATCGTAATGTGTAAATATAACCTTATCGAGCCCAATCAACGTCAGCTTGTTACATTTATTTTTGAACATTAGAAAATGCAGTTCAAGGTCGACAAGCAATAGAAATCTATCTAAGGGCGTGATACTGCAAGTTCTTTTTTGTATGTGACGCAATTCCGTCGTGTCGCTAGTCCGCCACGTGGAAAAATGCGCGGTATTTTCTAGAACGCTGTCTAACCGAATCAGCTGTTGTGAGTTACAATATACACTTGATAATTTTGCTGGCATATTAAACTGTTTACTGACGTCCTATGTGGCATTTACTCTACTAAAACCTAGACGAAGACGAAGAAGGGCATAAAAGTAGTAGGGTAAAAAGTAAAGACCCATTTCCCTTCTATGGGGCTTGGGGCGATTATAGATTATGCGTCCGTTGCACTTATAGATTTTATTAACAGGTAAGTAGGGTGTACAAGTAGATTAAAATAATAATATTAAAAACAACTTATTGAACAAGTAAAAGTAAATATGTTTAACTTATATATTTCGCATTTTAAACCGTTGAAGTGTTTTATTTAAATGGAACAGAATCCTTTTTCAAGCAATCTGGAATTCAAATCCAGGACCCTTAGCGCAATGTAAGACGATGTAACAAACCATTACCTAGGGACGCGGTGGCCTATATCTACCGAAAAATGCATAACGTATAATGTTTTTTGCGTTTTAAACCGTTGAAGTGTTTTATTTAAATGGAACAGAATCGTTTTTCAAGCAATCCGGAATTCAAATCCAGGACCACTCACCCTTAGCCCAATGTAAGACGATGTAACGAACCATTACCTACGGACGCGGTGGCCTATATCTACCGAAAAATGCATAACATATTCATGTAAAAAGAATGTAATTTTTGTGTAGTTTTTGTGATAATACTATCATATTTCACACAAGTTTACTTTTCATAAAATTAGCAGGTCTATGCGCAGGATAAATATGAATAATTCAGTTTAGTATGGTAGATGAAGGTAGAAGGTCTCTAGATCTACCGCTGTAGATCCAGATTTTGTACTGTGCAGATAAGGGGTATCTACACAGTACAAAACAGTCTAAGTATCTCACGCATATCCCAGGAGAAAAGTTTTCAACTATAAAGTGCTCATGAATGTTTGGGAAAGTTTATTGGTGTCTCTCGGGGCTTTTATAATCCCATTTTTTAAGCCACCACGCTATAAGCATTTTAGAATCAAGTGTAAATACAAATGTTGACATGATTGTTTTTAAACCTTTTTTATTATTAAGTATTACGCTTTAGACTGTGTAAATTGTGTGTCTTAAATTCGTCGCGAACTGAAAAATACATTTCTGATTTTGTGTAAGGATTGCTTATTCCACTAGCCTTAGGACCTTTCTGAGGGTATTAAGAAACCTCAATATAAAAAATAAATAGTATTTTTTTAGGAACCGGATTTTTACACTCTTTGGAATCATTTTAAGTAACTACTTGTGCCAGGTCTTCCAGCTCTTTCATATGATTAAATTAAACATGTGATTTCAAATGTGAGATTGTTGGTATAAATATGTGTGTGTGATGTGTGTGATTGGTGAATCTTGCGTTCCGAAGTGCATGCTGGCTACATATACACGTTGTCATTCTTTTTTTGTAGAATGTAAATAATTTAAAACTCACATCGAGACATAACCTTATAGTAGGTACAATAACGCAATAAATATAGTGAATTTATACTAAATAGTAAAATAATTCGCGAAAGACCTCCTAATCATTCCAAAATTTCAAAAACACGTTTACAGAAGAGTACGGGAATACACAAAACGATACACATTCTTGCATTATCGTAAAATACATATTGAATGATACTTACAAATAAATTAAAATAGCCGGCACAGCAAGACTGGCGCTAATTAGGTAAAAGGCACCAGCGAACGTCGACAAGGTGCTAAGATACACCTTACTGTACACGGGCGAGTAAATGACAGGAACTAAAGCCTCCGATATGCTGATTAGAGAGCTCGTTTTCCCTGGAAAGACAGAACGATATTAACATACCTTTACACTAGCTAGTTGCGGCCTCGACTTCATCCGCGGAGAATAGTTTTTATGTTACGCTGCGAAAACGGTTCAAGATACCCACAAGATATGTATGAAAGAAAGATCCTCTTAAAATTATCTAAAAAAATGTCCTCGCCACTAGATATCTATCTTTTAAGAACGACAGGATAATTTACTCAACTAGAAAAAAATTAAATAAAACATGTTTAACGGTTTAAATCTATATTTCGGATGCTTTGAAGTGTCTATGTCACGAGGGTCTGAAGATGGAGGGTGTTTGTAATGCAAATGTCAAATCAGTTTTGCATTTTAAACGGTTAGGTGTTTTATGAAAAAGGATAGTTTAACTAATATTTTTCGCGTTTTACACCGTTGGAAGTGTTTTATTTAACATCCGAAAATACAGTAAAAATGTTTATCGACTTGTTGTTATGAATTATAATTGTTAGACTGAAGTGATCAACTTAATAAATGACAATCATATTAATTTTATTCAACAGGAAAATGTAAATAAGCTAACTAGCGTTAGCTTTACAATATTTATTAAACACAAATTTGCTAACGCTAGTTAGCAATATAATATTCATATTAAAAAATATACACATGTAGAAAAATATTATATCTTTCGAAACAAAATTGGAATAAGAGGGTTTCGGGCGCTTATCTTAGGTAAGCGTGTTGCAATAATAATTACAAGCGATCACTTTTATGCAAGACGTTTGCTAAATAATTCAAATAGAACTTCTTCAATTCGAAGCCGTAGAAAATTAATTTTGCAGACAGTGCGTTGCACTCGAGTTGTCTTGGAGTTGTGAAAATAATGGTATTACTAGCTGTGACAACGACTTCGTCTGCGTAGAACAGTTATTTTGGGTATCGAAATTCGTTTTTGCTCTTTGTCATTATAGATTTAAGCTAATTCCCACGACGTCGGTCGCGTCCTCAATACTTAATGTATTGTCGAAGATTTTCTTCAAGGAAAAAAGTAACTAATACATGTTGTCTGAAGTTTACGCGAGTAGTACACATTTAAACAAAATACTCTAACGGTTTAAAACGCGATATATATTATGTAGTTAAAGTTGCATTACAAAGTTACATTCTTAACTATGATGTAACAGTTTAGATGATTTACATCAGACGTGGTCACAGGGGCATAAAACCAATCCGCACCTTCCTATGGCAGAGGAGACAGTTGCCCAACAGCAGGACATTACATGTTGAATGCATATTCATCAATAGACTCAAAATGAATGAAACTATCAACGAAACGACACTTTTAACGTATAAATTGTTAGGGTTATAACTTATAAGGCCCCTTCAACAACAAATTATACGCAAATCGTTCACACTTCTTTGTTAAAGGAGTTGAAATAGCAAATTTCGCCGTTTCCTAGCTATATTGTTTGATTAATGAACAAAGCGGGCAAACAAATCTAATTTTAAATATTAAACAATACCCATGTAGAATTGATAAATCGAAAATACACCAAGGCTTGGCCAATTCCGTTCGTAATTTTTATGCCCACGTTCGTCCAGTGGAAGTTTTGCAAGGGTTCACGACACATTTTGAAAAGCAAAATATAAATAATAAATACTGTCTGTAGTTTACGCGAGTACACTTTTAAATAAAACACTTTAACGGTTTAAAACGCGATATATATTAAAATAAAACACTTTAACGGTTTAAAACGCGATATATATTAAAATAAAACACTTTAACGGTTTAAAACGCGATATATATTAAAATAAAACACTTTAACGGTTAAAACGCGATATATTAATTAAACTTATTTGAAAATTATTTTTAACTTCGGCCTACGTTTCGGACGCTTTGCAGCAGCCGTGGTCACGGGGAGACCCATGTATATATCGCGTTTTAAATCGTTAAAGTGTCTTATTTAAATAAGCAAAATATAATTAAAATAATAGTTAAAGACTGGTTCTTTGCCAAGCTGTGTCGCGCCCGTTGGTCATACGGTAGCAGGGACGTGGGTTCGATTTCCAGCGGGTCCGACATGCTTCTTAATCGTTTATAGTTCTACTGAAACATGTCGCACTTGTCGACCGTGCATCTAATTTAGAAGTAACGTATATACATACATAAAAATATATTTCTTTTGTAATTGAACCTTTTTAAGGTTGGAAGTAAGTTTAAGTTTCTCCCCTGTGCCCACAGCTACTTTACAGCACCCGAAGGCCGGAGGATCGTAGTTTAAAATTATCTATGTAATATGTTACACGTTTTAAACCATTACAATATATATATATATATAGTATTTTGTTTAATGTAAAAATCAGATCAATATTTATTATTGCGTTAAGCACGGGGAGTCCCACATTTGAATCCCGTGGAAACAATAAATTGTTTCGGCCAGGACACAGAAGTCTGATCAACTACTTGCCTGTGAATAAAATCGATGCGAAATGGACACACAAATGTGTACGCTCGCTCGATAATCGTAATTAAGTGAGATTGTTAGAGGCAGAGAGTTTAGTGAAGTTAAGTTGCTTCTAAATTACTTACATTTTTTATATAATAAACACGTGTATACGGTTTTTACGTTATCGTTTTATTGTAGAAATAAAAATGAGATATTAAAAGAAATGACCAATCTCTTACTCATGGTATTTAAAGTCTAATTTTCTTGGAGCATAAAAATTGATATGTCTAGAAACTTTCTTATCGAGAAATTTAATATTCTCTCATGGAAAAACTGTATGCTTTTTAAGCATTTAAAATAGCATCGTATTAAAGTCGGCTCAATACAAAAAATGTCCTATTAAAGACTTCTACAAAATCGAGCAAGAGTTCGCACTTGCCCGATTTTGTTTTCGTGTTTCTGCACCTTTACCAAACAATATTAGGCACACAAATTTAATATTGTAAAACCATAATTTTAACCTTCTTACTATTATAAAAGTATGTATTAATTAAATCTATAGTGATATTATAAAGCTTGAGAGTTTCCTTGTTTCTCTAAACGCGCTCATTTCAGGATCTACTTGTTCGAATTGATAATTGTTTTCGTATTGATTAGGGCATTTATCGAGGAAACATTAGGGCTTCAAAACATCACAATGCGACCAATAGAAGCGAGGGAGCAGTGGAAAAAATGGAAAAAATAAAAAATAATGTTCACATCTGTACGTTTCCGTTGCGTGCGTTGCGAAAACGCTTCGTGATAACCAAAAAATGTGTATAAAAGAATGATTCCTCTTTAAATGATCTAAAAATTTTATTAAAAGAATATGTATCTATCTTTAAAGATTAACTCACTAGAATCGTTTATATGGACATTTCGTGGGTATACTTCATACGGCAAAGTAACGTAAGCCACGTCGGCTAGTAGCGAGTTAGTATCCATTTACATAGAGAGAATCACTATTTTATAACTTATGATAAAATTAATATTTTGTGAATATTTCTATAGCTAATTTGTTATATTTGCATTTGTATTTAAAAAGTAAAGCAATTGAGAAAAAAATGTGTCTTGCTGCATGAAACCCCCTTTTTAATTTTTTATTATTTTCCCACCAGGATTACATAAATTGAAATTGGAATAAAGATTACTTTGAGTTTTTGAATTGAGAATGACTGTCTGTGACTTAGCTGTACTTAAATAACTTAACACAAGTATTTTAAATACGTCTTTTACCTGTGCACGCAACCCGAAAAAAATAACGGTTTATTGAATCGCGTGCTCAGTTGCATAATTCCGAATCAGTAAAGCGACGAAACTAGCACACAATTAATTATTATTTATTTATTTATATAACTTTATTATCTACAAACACCACAATTGAGAATAAAAACTTATGATCTAGCTTATAAATAAAGGGCGGCCTTATCGCTAAACACCGATCTCTTCCAGGCAATCAAATGCGAAGGGAAGACAAGAAAGTACTATAGGTAGGTGGTGCTAGTGAAGGACGTGAAAAAGACAGGAGAAAGAAACGAAAAAGGGGTAAAAAAAAAGGACTAAGATCTGGAAAGATACAATTTGAAAACTAAGGTTTTAAAGGTACGGAGAGATTGAGCTTCTCTGATGTCAACGGGGAGAGAGTTCCATAGGTAAAGGAATTATGGTAGAAGGAAGTCTTATGCGCGGGAATAAATAACAAAAGATTATGGATAGTGCGAACATTCAGGTTATGAGAGCTTAATGGAATAAAATTTTCTTTTAAATTTGGAGGTGATTTGGGATCGAAGAGAATCCGATAAAGGAGAACAAGGACATGAAGATTTCTAAGGGAGCGAACTGACCGGCAGTTAAGTTCTAGTATTATTGTTAGATTGAAATAATATTTGTGCGGCCACTCTTTGAACTGAGTTCTTTAGTTGAAGATGGTTTTAGTTGGGTGTTTGAACCCCACCGGGTAAAATTAGTTTCTAATTTTTCAATTTATTATTTTTCTGAAACGTGTTGGATTTCAACGTCTGGAAATGGTATTAAACGGGTGGTAGGAATATAGTAACTCTATATAACTCTAATATAAGAAAAAGCCGTGAAGTTGAATCGCGTTTTTGGTTCCAGTCCGTGGATTTCCGAATATCCAACACCAAAATAGGTCTTATTTAGATGCTATACATTGGGGTATATCACGTAACACCAATTTAATCTCATGTGTGTATGTCCTTCTTTATTATTAAAAAAAATATCTATAATAATTCGTGTGATTTTGTATCTCAAGAACCGCAAAAAATAGAAAACTACTTGAACTATTTATTATTAAATAAATTATAGCTAAAGTAGAATAATTAATCAAAAAAGTAAATAAGCGTGCGTCCAGCGTTTTGATAATTTTTGTACGATATCAATAAATGGTTACGAGGAGGCATTAAAAATACAAATTCAATCGTGCGGAACCCTCCATGCATGAGTTTGACTCTCACTTTTGGCAATTTTAATTCCATTCTAATATAATAGTAACACATCGTTCCAATGTTGAAAATAGCTGGAGTACCAAATGCGTTTACACATTTTTGATAATCATACACGTATTGTGCAAGAACGTGTCAAAGGACACAGTAACTTACCAACTTCATCTGCATTGACTAATTTAGTAGCAATAGAACGTAGAGACGTTGCCCCCGCCGCGCTGAACATATCCAAAACTGGTCCCAAGAAGTAGATGGTCCTGTTTGGAGCCATGGCATACACCACACTAGCAGCTATCCGGCTGACGCAGGCAATCATCCCGATGATACTGTCTTCGATGTTCCATCTCTTACTAAAGAGATATATCGTTATAAAGGAACCTGCCAAACAATGTTGCCATCATATACTCTGTAGTTTACTCGAGTAGTACACATTTAAATAAAACAGTTTAACGATTTAAAACGCGATATATATTAGTAAAACTTATTTGAAAATTCGGCGTTATAGCGCCATTTAAACATTTAAATTGATTTATTTAAAAACGTTGTCTTCAAAAAGTTGTTTTCTCATCGAAGACTCTATACTCTATGAAATAGTAAAGGTCGACTATTTAAATTCAAACGTCGAGTAATAATTTGACAGATGTCAAAATTCACAGAAAAAGTGGCGGGAAATCGCCCTGTTGACAGTCAAACAAATGAATTTCGGAAACTCAGATTACAAACGAAAATTGGATAGTGCGAACGATTATAATGTACACCACAACACACACTATCATCAATCAAACTATTTTAAGTCAATGTGCTTTTTAGGGTTTTATATTGGATCATAGTTACCCATATTGAAAGGGGTCGAGATCTTGGAGTCGAGTGCTCAGCTCGCCTAGGAAAAAAATAAGTTATAGAAAGACATCTTTCTAGCGGTCGTAATATTTTCAAACAGTTAAGCTATTCTGGAGGAGGTTTCGACAAAACTTAGGTAAAAAATACATACGCAAGCGAAAAATCTTTATTGCTAGAGTAGAGTAGAGTCTAGTTGTAGATATCCGAAATTCTAGATATTTTTTAAAAGCTAACGCCATGAATTTTTTATGTTTTTAATCGTTACTCATACGCTACTTATTATTTGACGTAACAAGATATGACTAAAAAGTAATTTAAAAACGCATCAAATCGAATTTGAATCGGCGACATAAAAAGTTAATTATTTTCAAATGATTACGTAAACTTGTATATTAATAGTTATTATTTTTTATAATTGTTTACTTACATCAAAAGAAAATCGAAAAAAAATTACATTAATAGACATTTTAATGACGAAAATATATGTAAATTGATGTTATTTTAAAATAGAAACAATCAATATTATCTCTAATTTATTCGTTTTTTGACTGAGAAACTTGCTTAATAATCAATATTTTAATTAAAAATAAAATATACAATTTTCGGTAAAAAACAGACACGAGGCATTTTCGATAAAATAAATAGCAATTTAAAAACTAATAACTAAAGGCGTTGCTAGGCCCTTTTTCACCGATTTTTTCCTACAAGGAGCAGATAGTGTATTTTTTCCAACTTCGTAAAAGACCACAACGAATATGGTCCATTTTAAACCATAGCGATTTAGTAATGCCCTTTTACTGAATGTAGTCATAGCCAAAGATGACAGAGTTGAAGAAATATCGACTATTCAAAATCACTTTTATGACGACCTCTTTTTTTTAATATGTCATTATAACTGGACGTTAGTAACGCTTTTCAGAGGTAGTGCATTAATGAGACTTTTACCTTCTTTTCTCGTTCGCTTTGCTTACATCTCATCCTCATGTAAATGTCAAACTAAAGAAATTTTAATCTCTGCATTTACGAAAATTAATTGTTAAGATGCTTATTAATTTTAGCATGAAATGGTTTTTACCAAGTAAATTTAAGGTCATTAGTTTAATATATAATCTAGTGTCTCAAAGTTATTTTAATGTAAATCAATGTAATCCTTGTGATAAAATCACGATTTTATGTAAAATATGCGTTTGTTTACCAAAACGCCAAGTAAGAATAAATACACAACCCAACACATGAGAAGAAAGTTGACAAACAATCAAGTAATTTACCACCCAGTCTGTGGCCGTCGCAATACGTTCACAGATAAAAAATGTATTATTTCCTAATTTCACACGCCGTCGTATGATTACGAAATCTCTGCAGATAGTTTTTAATGCCTTTACGTGTTGTTTATACAATTTATTCATGTTTCCGTTGATATGAGAAATATGAGATGAGGTGTTATGAGAAATAATTACTCAGCTAGATAAACATCCCTTATCAATATTGAAGAAACTGAGTAATTTTCTAGATAAAGGCTTGTAAATAAAAGTAATTTGATTGAACGTGATAAGACAGCGTCCTTTTTTACTGATGGTGTAAATGCCTAATGACGTGGGAGGTGTGGTGAATCGTACTACTCCCTTCTTCGAGGGGATCGTCGACAGAACCACTACCACCAGCCCGCTACGATGCTTTCGATGCTCTGGGAGCACAGTCCTGCGACGCCAAAGCGATTAGTATACTAATATATAAATCTGAAGAGTTTGTTTGTTTGAACGCGCTTATCTCAGGAATTGGTTTGAATTAAAAAAAATAGTGTTGGTTAGAGCATTTATCGAAAAAGGCTATAAGCTATAAAGTAACACGCTGTAAGAAATAGGAGCATTTACATAAAAAACAAATTTAGATGCCTTATATAATTATTCTACGCGGACGAAGTCGCTGACACAGCTAGTTAACATATAAAAATCATCAAGTAAAAATTGTGTATCTAAGTACTCATAGTTACATTAATTAGAGACAGGTCAACGAATAAATTTTAACAAGGCTAAATTCTAATTAGACTAAACAATAACCACTTAAGCAGTTTCGCGTCTTTCAATAAAAATGACAACGGTTTTTATAGCCTTTATAGAACATTCGTCGTAAGACATTATGCTACAATATTACAGACTAGCTGTGTCAGCGACTTCGTCCCGTCGTTCTTGCGTGTTAATCTTAAAAGATAGACATATTATGGTATTGACATTTTTTCAGATCATTTAAAAAGGAAACATTATTTCATACATATTTTTTATATCCTAAACGCAGGATACGCTTCAGAAACCCCTAAAATGAATAATTTTTCCTTTTCCACATTTCCTGCTGTGTCTTCGTTCCTATTAGTTACATCGCGATGTTTTATAGCCTATATATAGCCTTCCTCGATAAATGCTTTAACCAACATAAAAATAAATTATTTAATTCGAATTCAGTAGTAACTGAGATTAGCGCGTTAAAGCAAACAAACAAACTCTTCACCTTTATATATTAGCATAGATGATAATAGACACAATAATAAAGTAAACAATACAATATAAAAAGGTTGTATATTGCCTTTTAAACGGTTAATATAATTTCAATACAATGAAATGTACAAAAGGTACTTAACCGGAGTTTTGAATGTTAAATACTTTTTAATGTTTGTACATTGAGTATAACAATAGATGAATCTCCGATCTATAGATCAGTTGATCTCTGCGTCATCAAAGAGTGTATAGTAGTTTACGCGAGAAGTACATATTAAAATAAAACATTTTAACGGTTTAAAACGCGATATATATTTATTCAGACGATTTATATAAATACTTTATTTGAAAAAAATATTTAAGTAATATAAATCGCGTTTCAACCCGTTATAGTGTAAGGTAAAAACTATTTCTCGCTTCGCTCCAATACGTAATGTCCTAACAATAATAAATAATAATATATATAGGAACTACTTGTTTTAAATTCTTTTCGAATTGGTTGGACCGCATATGTAGCGGACGAAGTCGCTGACACAGCTAGTATATACATAAGTGGTTACAAAGAATCATTTTCACATTTGTGTTTTCAGCCATAAGAAAATATAAAATACTACTTAATCATGCTGTTTTATTTGAGTTTTCAAGGAGTATGTACTTGGTAGATTGTGGAGGGTTTCGTAAAAAGCAGGAGATCTTAAGTCTAATGAAGTTGGCGACGGCTTTACTATTTTTTTTTAATTTACCTTTACTTAACGATGTGAACGTTCGAATTTTTATTAAAAAAATATCCGCATTTTGAAGAACAAACTTACGTCATAACAATGAGTTCTGTTTGACACCTCATCAAGCACATTACGTTACCAAATACTTTAAGAGATACGTAACGGATGGTTGGCAGATAACGAAATTGTTAAGAGATAACGAAATGTTTAAATTTGACCTCCATCAGGTCATAATTACTCAGTGCTGAGTAAGGCGGTAAGTTACGTAAGTATTGTTGTTATATCTCTCAACGTTTCTACACAATTTAAAGAGGATTTCTCTCTTACACAGGAGATGTGAGGGCGAGGAAATGTAATAGAATGTGCTACGAAGCTTCTCGTAGCGAAACTTTATAATTATTCCGTGAATAACATTCAACTGTGACGTGGAAATAAGAGATATACAGACGCATTTCAAAAAGAACTTTATCAAATAAAATATACTTACTTCAAATTCAAATCTTACTTAGACTAATAAATACAGTATTTTTGTAAATAGAAGATCAATGAAAACAAACTAAAATAAAACCTGCGAGGTGGCCCGTGACCACGACTGAGCCATAGTATCCTAACGTCGGGTCGTAGTCTCAATAAATTGTAAATAAGTTAACTAATATTTTGTGTTTTGAACCCATAAAGTTTTATCTTCAAATGTGTACTATATGCGGAGACTACACAAAGTACTTTAGACGCGAAATGTATTAGTTAACTTACTTACAATTTATTTTTACGGCTCAACGTTTCGGATGTAGCAGCCGTGGTCATGGGGCAAATTTTCAGTCGTTCTACGCGTTGTCTAGCACTGTATTAAGTACAACAGTTTTGTGTTTGGGGTAACTATAAAGAAATGGACGCTGAAAAGTGTTTCCCTCAAACCTTACATAGACACTAAAGTACTTTTTCTCGATTATAGAATAAAAATTGTGTAACTGTTGAGTTTAAAACCATATTATTCAAGTCTGGATCAAAAAACTGTCAGTAAATAAAACAGTTTAAATCGGAAGTTATGAAAAAAAAAACAATTATTTTCAAAATTTAACTCAACAATTATCTAGTAAAATTTAATATGAACCATTCACGCGAATCATAGACTAACAACTCTAGGTAAGTAATTCGTTTACTTTTGATTATTGTTTCTTAGCAAATATTGGTTGTATCACGCATGTATCAAACATAAAATTGCAAGAAGTACTGCGTCTTAATTTAGAAGAGGTAATATTAGTTACTTCTTGTCGTCGTAATTATAATTTATAATGAATGAAAAAAGTACCCACAGCCAGAATAGGCGTCGCCGTATCTTCATTTTATCGCCTACCTTCTATCATGTGAACCCCGTGTTTTATCATAAATCAAAATATCAAACTGTTGTGTTATTAAAAAATCTATATCAATTAAAAGTTACAATAAGTATAGATAAGAAGACATTGTTTTGAATAGTAACACGTATAATTTAAAAATCGAAAATAAATTAAAAAAAAAATTTCTCTTAGAGCAACAGCACGGAACGCTGACGATGCCGGTTCAAGTCCTGCCCGAGTCGAAAATTTTTTTCAATTTATTTTCGATTTTTAAATTGTATAGTGCCTTCATGTGCAATAACATGTAAAAATTCATAAAGTTTTCAAAGGTAGTAGTAACAAGTATTTTTGTCTTGTATTATGTTTGTGTTAATTGATTGATTAAAATCTTCTTACAAATCGATATATTGTGTTAAATTTATGTTCTTTGTATGTTTCCGTGTTTGAAAATGGACTACAAAGATTTAAAATTTTATCTATTTCTTCTTGTTTTTATAAACGTGTTTATACGCGGTGGATTTGATGGTACACATCTCACTATTTTTATTTTGCTAAGTACCAACAAACCCAATTTCTATGAAATAAAAACCTTCTCTATGCAGTAAATGCAAAACATAGTATATAAATAAATGAAGCTGCTAAAAATGCTCAATAAACTTATGTTTAGAATATAAAAATAAATAAGTCAAGTCATAAAATTGCAGTTAGGCTACTCTGCCTCTAGCAGCCTCATATATGATACAAAATTTCACAGAACAGTCATAGATAAAAAATGAAGTAGGTACTCACCGATAGTGCCGACTAGGACGGAGTAAGTTAGGAACAAGCTGTAGTCCACTTCGGTGAATTTGAACTTGTAGCGCGTAAACCAATAAGTCATCTGCCCCTCACCTTACCAAACGAAACATCTATTAGTCAAGCGTTTGTGCGCGTGCGTCGGCAATCTGCAAACATTATGTAACAGCTACTTTTGCTGTAGCAGTTTGCCATCCTAACATCTATGCGACACCTCCGAATGTTTTTGTTCTGATAACGAGCTATTCTTGTTATCATTGTCATGTCTCCAACAAATTCTTTATTTATTTATATTTCTAGTAATCTTTTAACTACACTTAATACACAGCGTAAACTGTTATAAAGACTAATTACTAATGTGTTTGAAAAGTTTAATATTTTTCAGATTTTGTTGCATTGTATGAATTAAAAATCCGATTTTAGATTGAAAATACCAAAAATTAAATTTGAACCGGCATTCACATCGTTTTGTTGTTGCTTTAAACAATTAGCCAACTGATTTAATTGGTTAACGTGTTACTTATTAAAATATAATCTTATAAAATAGCGAAGTAAATATACAGCCTTAAAATAATTAAAGTTATCGACAGCATTACTTTCAATACATTTAATTCCACATATGGCAGGCACCTTGACACTGCCTCTAAAGACGCAGTGAAAATGGTCAGGTCTGGGGCACATTATTGATCCTTTATGGTTAAAAGAAAAAATAAGTAGCTCAAGTATAAGGTAACCTATAATCGTCAAATTTGCCCTGACAAATAAAAAAAAAGGAAAAATGCATTTTATTTCTTGTAATTTCAAATTGAGATGTTAAAAAACTTCAATAACACCCTACAGATAACATTTTTCTTTGTGTCTAAGAAAGTATCTACAGATCGTAGCTTTAAATCACTCGTTTTATCAACATAACCTCATATACTCTGTGCAGTTGACGTGACGTGACAGAACCGGCCGTTCCCGCCAAAAATTTGACGATGTAAAAGTTAAACCAGAGACGGTAAAGTCGCGAAGTGTAAATTGGCGTTTAATTTTTTATCTGTGGAATTTCGAATGCCCAAAGTCAAAATTAGGTTGAAAGAGAATCTTAAGTATCGTGTGATTTTTTTAACTTGGCAAAAGACCAAAACTAAAAAGACCCATTTCAAATCGTAGGGTACCAGTGAAGCCCGCTTATAGAGTGTAGTCGTTGCCACAGATGCAACAGGGTTAAATAAAACTTCAATATTCAAAATCACTTTAATGACGAATAATTAAAAAAAAAATGTCATTGTTATTTAACTTGAAGTTTGTAACCCTTTCAGCTATCGTGCATGAGTGGGACTCTACCTTCTATTGTCGTTGACTTTGCTTATATCCCATCCTTATGTAAATATCAAACTAAATAAATTTCCTATCAAATATCAAACTAAAAAAATCTTAAAATTCACGAATTGATTTTTAGGATTTTTATTGATTTCAGCATGAAGTTGTGGTTTTCACTAAATTAATTTGGGTTAGTTCGTTCGTTTCAATATAAAATGTATTGTCTCAAAGTACTTTTTAGTGTGAATCAATGTAAACCTCGTGAGAAAATGGTGTGTTTTATTTACCAAAAATGCCAAGTAAGAAAAAATACACTATTGATGCTCTAGGGCTTTGGCATTTCACCATTCATTAAAGAAAGGGTACGTATTTACTTAACCACCATTTACTCAATGGAGACCGAAGTATATTGGTAAAGCCATAAAACGTAGACAATAAAATTGCAATCGCGTTTGTTGTTAGTATTCAACCAAGAAGGTTAAGGCGGTTCGAGAACCGCTAAATAAAAGTGAAAAAGTCGAAAGACGTGATGCAACATTTACGGTCGACTTATCGCGAAATTGCTCTACATGCTCTGCGTTTTGAACGCTTTGTCTTGCTCGATAATGACGTGAGGACGAAGGGTAAATAGACTAGAGTTTCCCCACCGTGACAAGATAGATCACGTAGTACGTGGCTCATTTTTTATCGTCCCTTCTGTTTTATAAGCTTAATATACTTATTGTCTGAAATGTACGCGAGTACACGTTAAAAACTCAAAATATTTTTATTTGGAGAAACTAGCTGGGTCCTTACAGAACTCAGGGTGTCCTCTGTTTTCGGTATGCCGTTTTGGGATCTAGTATTTTTACTATAGCATCCCAGTTCTTGACCGTCCGTCCCTATAGCAATTTGGATGTTTCTTGATTTTAATTGCTTCGCGTACCAAAAACTCGAAATTTGACCTTTTACGACTTTTCTTCAAATACAAACTACAATGAAACAGATGGCGCTAGCGTGGAAGATTTGACTTTGACATTAGACACCCTCCATCTTCAATCACTTATAATAAGGACTGCCGCAAAGCATCCGAAGCGTCGGGCGGTAGTTCAAAAAATTAAAAATAATATTTCGCATTTTAAGCCATCTTAAAGTGTTTTATATTATGTATTAGTACTCAAGATATCGCCTAATTATGCTACACGGAATTCCAGTTCTGTCAGCCCTTTCAATTGTTATGACACTACAAGGCCCAAGCGCAGTTGACTTCAGCCAATATTTATCTGCCACACTGTCGTCTTATTAACATGTGAAATAATAAACATGTTGCTATGTCATCTTGGGGAAAATTTTCCCACCAGCTTTCCTATGACTTTTCTTGCATGGAAAATTTAAATGTTCTAGTTATTCGATCATTTTATACTGTTTATTTTACACTTTAACTCTTTAAAACGCGATATGTATTAGATAAACTTATTTGAAAATAATTTTAACCGAAAGAAAAATAAGTGAAAAAGACTTAATCTATTTTAAGCAATCTAAAAAATTGTCTACGACAATATATTGTCTATCTTTAGAGATCACCAAGAACAATGGTACGCAGACGACGTCGTGGGTAACAGCTGTATAAAGCTGAGGTTTGCAATGTCTAAATTAACTATTCCACTAGGACAAAGTCGCGGGCTTAGTAATCTATAAACTGGACATCCGGTTTCGTGTCAAGTTCATTCGATACAACATCAATTTGGACTGACATATGTCTGACAATAGAAAATAAAGGTGAACATAATTTGAGCTTCAATGCAATTAAATAAACAAACATCCATAAATTACTTACGTAATTGGTTACATAAAATTAGCAGCAGGGAAATCCATGGATTTAACAGTTAAATGAGATGTCATAATTAATGTATTCTAAAAGGAATAAGGAATTACAATAATGATAAACGGTTTAATAGTGTATACAATGACAGAAGTAATTCATTTTTGCATATGCAAAACTATGCGTACATATTCTAGTAATTAAATAGTTCGCTTTGTAAAATCTATAGAAATCTGACGAGTTTGCTTGTCTGTTTGAACGTCCTAAAAAGGTTTGAATTGAAAATGTTAATGTCGGTTAGAATATTTATTGAGAAAGGCTTTAGGGTATACAAATCAGGCTGCGACTAATATAAGCCAATAGACAGAGGGAAATGTGGAATTAACGGGTAAAATCATTCACCTTTGTGGGTACCCGTAGCGTGCGTTAATACGGTCAAGATACCAAAAAAATGTGTATAAAAGAACTATACTCAATAAAGTATGTAATAAATGTAAATTATGCTTATGTCTATCTATTCAGATTAACTCACAAGAATTTTATGGTAATCCAATATCCAAGTCTCCCCGTGACCACGGCTGCTGCAAAGCATTCGAAACGTCGGGCCGAAGTTAAAAATCACTTTCAAATACGTTTAACTAATATATCGCGTTTTAAACCGTTAAAGTGTTTTATTTAAATGTGTACTACGTAAACTATAGACAGTACGAATTAATTATACTAATTACAGTGATAAGTCATGATTCATATAAATAGTTGCCAGTTAGCGATAGAATAGGAAAATATTTCCATTGTTTTGGAAAAGTTTCGAACCGCGTTATTTGAAAAACGAATCATCGACGACTCTTTGGTCTAATGGTAGCAATCTACGGCTAATAATCAAAGGGGCTCGGTCCTACCGAATCCAATAATTTTTATTACTAGCTGGTTCAGTGACTTCATTCGCTAAGAATAGTTATTTTGGGCTTCCAAATTCGTTTCTGCAAACCCCTTCGTCATTATAAACTTCGGCTGTTACCCACGACATCGATTGCGTTCCTTCAGAGCGTTCTTGCAAGTTAATCTTAAAAGATAGACATATTTTTTGGGTATCATGAACCTTTTTAGCAGCGTACGCCTCGGCAATCCATACTGCTGAATAATTTCCCCAATTTTTTTCACATTTCTCGCTGTATCTTTGCTTGTAACAGGACGATGTATAGCCTATAGCCTTCTTCGAAAACGCTCTAATTAACAAAAAACGAATGTTTCAATTCGAACCGGTAGTTCTTGAGATTAGCGCATTCAAACAAACAAACTCTTCAGCATTATACATTAGTATAGATATTACAATGAAATATTACGTATAAACTCAAATAAGTTAAGCTTTTACTGAATACGTGCATAACAAGAAATGACTAGATACAGTACATAGTTTATCATTGTAATTGTCTTAAAGATATTTAAATGTAATTCCACCTTTTGTATCCGTATGGAATAATACAAAATAATTAATATGGAGATTAACTATTCGTAATTAATTTTATGGTGTTTGTTTGAAATGTTTCTATTTTTATGTTTGGTTCTTATCACAATATACACATAAAATTATATATTTTGTTTTAGTAGCTCTTAAATATATTGTATTTAATAATTGTTTTTGCAGTATCCGTTTAGCGTAAAACGGATGTTTCGCTTTTGCCTCACATTATCCCGTTTACCTTGTGGCGCATGGGGCGAACACATTTCTGTGTCTGCTTCACTGATCGGTTTTAATTACAGGCACCGAAGCAATCCATTGATTCCCCGGGATTCGAACCCAGGATTTCTCGCGATAGAAAGCTACAAACTAGCTGGGTCTTTGAAAAATTGTCTCCGACTACGAAACGTCAGGCCGTAGTTAAAATAAATTGTAAATAAGTTAACTAGTACATTTCTGGTTTTTAACCCTTTAATTTTTATTTATTTATTAATTAATAATATGTTAGTACTGGTTAAAAACTGTGATCTAAGTGAAACGCGATTAAGGTTATCCGTGGACGGTGTTCGTGACCCGGACGGAATTTTTATATTCGTACCACGGAACGTGGTCGCCCCAAACAATCCTGATGGCGTACAATTGAGGACGAGGCGAAGAAAGTGAGAAAGACGTGAAGCGAGATAGAACGCGAGGCTCAAGACCGATCGTTATGGAGGACCACTGTAAGCGCCCTTTGCACCGGCTAGGGGACACAGGATATTAAGTCAAGTAAGTCATTGAATCCTAATCCTAATTTCCAGACGAAGGCCAACATTTTTCAGAAATATTATAAATTTAAAAATTAGAAACATGTTGATTCCAGTGGAGATCGAACCCACGACCTGTTATTAGCCATGCCATTGCTACCATTGCCACGAGCACGTCGTCTTATAAGTATTTGTATGATGAAAATCTCTCTAAATCGGAATAACTTATCTGAATTTGAATTTCTTAGCAACTTCCAACAAGTGAACAACTTAGTTATCCAGTTACCACTTCATTTATTCTCGATATCAAACAAATAGACAAAAGCGATTTAAAATGAGTCATTTAATTAAGCGTATTATTTGATAAGGTGAGTACTAAATCCTAAACAAGGAGACACCCTACTCATCGTATTTAAATTAAATATTATCCCTCGTTGACACATATAGTATACACCATGTGAATCACATTTAACGGTCAGAAACGATATTTATATTGTCTATAGTTTACGCGAGTAGTACACATTTAAATAAAACACTTTAACGGTTTAAATCTCGATATATTAGTTAAAATTATTTTTAACTTTGGCCCGACGTTTCGGATGCTTTGCAGCAGCCGTGGTCACGGGGAGACTAAAGATGGGGAATGTCACTGACGTCAAAGTAAAAATTGCTACGCTAGCGCCATCTGTTCCGTCGAAGTTGGTATTTGGCGAAACTGGTCGGGTTCTTACAGAATTGACTAACGGTGTCTTAGCGTTTGCCGGTATGCTGTTTATTAGGATGCTCCCAAAGTTAGTCTAAACTCTGGATATTTCGCGTTTTAAACCGTTAAAGTGTTTTATTTAAAACGGTATTTATATAATTCATTATCCCTTGACCACGGCTACTGTATCCGAAACGTCTGCTCGTAGTTAAAGTAAGTTGACGTTAAAAGGAAGTTATATTTCAGGCTCTAAAGCGTTAGAAGTTATTTATTTAAACCAAATAGTGAATTTTGTAAGTTTGTTACTAGTTTATTACCAAAACATGTGAATCATTTTGTTTTAAATGTTTGATGACACTTAGATTAACGCCTATGTTTTCTTCTATTAAAATAAACATTTTTTTTAAGTATTGTCTATAGTACACATTTAAATAAAACTCTTTTTAACAGTTAAAAACACGAAATGTATTAGTGTAACGCAACCTTTATAACCACGACTGCTGCAAAGCATACGAACGGGCTGGCTGTAGCTAAAATAAATTGTAAATAACTTAACATCTCGCGGTCTTTCCGTTAAACGTGTTTTATTTCAATGTGTAATACTCGCGTAAACTACAGACAGTATCTATATTTTTAGCTATTATGTGATATGCTACAAAACAAAGGTGTTTTAACAGATACAAAACGCGTGCCACTCGTGTTATAATAATAAAGGATTCATACGATAGATAAGTCTAATGACTTCTAAGCAAAATAATAAAATGAAGACGCTTTAGTCTAAATAAGATTAGCTTGTCCTTTTAACCTTTAACCTTTGATAAACAGATTGTAAATACACAAGCTTGTACCAGATTGTTATTTAGAATACTGTGTTGAACAAAGTAATGCATAAATGTATATTTAAATAAAGCGGCGATAAAAGGTTAACACGCGGAAATATCTATTACTAGCTGTGCCAGCGACTTCGTCCGCGTGTACTTATTTCCTTTGATAAAACCTCAGACTCATTTTTATAAACCAACGCTGTTACCTACGAGGTCGTTCGCGTCCTAATCTTGCTAGTTAATCTTAAAAGATACACAAATAATAAATGGATATTTTTTAGACTCATTCTACCATATATATTTTTCGGGTATCTTGAACCGTTTTGCAGCACACGCAACGAAAACCTTCCGATTTCTTGCTGTTTCTTCTCTCCTATTAGCTACAATGCGATGTTTTATATCCTATAGCCTGTACTGTCTATAGTTTACGCGAGTAGTACACATTTAAATAATATTATAAATTATATGTTTTATTTATATATATAAATTTATATATAAATATAATGTTTTATTTAAATCCTATAGCCTTCCTTAATAAATGCTCTCACCAAAACAAAACGAACTTTTTCAATTTGAATCAGTAGTTTTGAGAATCGCGCGTTCAATCAATCATATATTAATCTATTTCGAATCATTGCAAAAAAAAACACTTTTGAACCGTTTTAAACGTATAAATTGATTTTTAACGGATCGACGTTTTTTAATGCTTTTCAGCTATGGTACCGGATTTGTTCGTTTTAATAGTGATACACGCCAAAGTATTATAAGAATACTTTTACATTTAATAATTTATATTCCGATATATATTCCAGTCCCGCCCGTGTCGTCAAATTTTTCAATCTACATAGTTTCTTTTATCTTAAGTAAATGGATTTTTAAGTCATTAATTTTTAGTATTAAAAATAATAGCCCATACGTATGTAATTGTTCTGGAGGCAAAACCATTTAAAAGTTGCATCAGAGGAGTGAGTTTAAAAAAATATTACTAAGAAAGAAGCCTACGTCATAGAAAACAAATGAAAACCACAAACACAATTCATACATGGCTAATAAGGCTTCAGATTTATAAAACAATGCTGAAAACAAGCGAATCTACGTTTCGCCATAAAAAGGAAATAAAACGAAGCGATGCGAGCGCATGTGGTAAATTTTTACGATCATAATATTCCGTGTATGATGAAAACCGTTTCACCAACAATCCAAGTTGGCAGGCTCGTTGGTGGTGGCAATATATGACTAATAATCAACGGGTCGCGGAATCGATCCTCACCGAGTTCAACATTTTTCAGATCAATTTATAATTCTTCAAACTTCGTCTGGAAATATCGATATCAAATGGGTGGTTGGAATGTCGAAATTTGTCCGAGTCGCGAACCGACGTCCGAAGATGAAGAAGCCACAAGTTTAATCGCGTTTAATCCCAACCCAAAATAGGTCGAGAGCGCACCTTCTATAGATACCATCAAGTGAATCCTAAACTTGTCTGTCCACCTCGATCATAAAAAAATTCATAACAATATACTTATAAATATATTAATAGTAATTGCTTCGATACGGTTTACGCTGTGTTAGCTATCGAGAAATAATAATCAGTACCTTTCGACACCATAATAATGGATTTGTTTTTGTTGAGATTAGAGAAATAAAAATCTTACCAAGCACGGGTCCAACGATGAACATGTACGCGAACATGATGAGAATTATTTGGACCCGACGGAATCCTTCTCGAGGCCTGAAAGCTACATTCACCGTCGCTACGAGATCCTTAACGGAGAACGACACCGGCTCCTTGTGATCTGTCTCCACTGTTTTCTTGGTCTTCTCCTTGAGCCTCAATAGAATGTACACGAACCCCGTCAAGTAGAAAACGCACGCAACAGTAAAAACACCATAATAGCCGAACCGCTTCGTCATAATACCACTTAGAGCGAGACCTATCGGTCTACTGAGTGTCAATATCGCGGTGATGATCCCTAAACGGAAAGTCCTTTCAGATTCACTAGTAATGTCTGTGATGTAACTGTACACTGCCATCGTCATGGCGACACGACCGCCGGCCAGAGCTGGCGGAAGACCTTCGATAACAGCGGTCTCGTTTACACCGACCTGCCGAAAGAACACGGTGCTCAGAATAATCCCGATGATAGAAATCAACTTCCCAAGTATCGGTAGGACCATGAACGTTTTCCGGTTGCCTGTTCGATCGCTCCACGCTCCCACGAATAGCGCTAAGATACCGGGCAGAGCCGTTTGGAGGGGGAAGCTCCAAGCGGTCATACTCGCTACCATCTTCTGGACGTTTTGCTCCTGCTCTGTCAGGTTGCTGGTGCGGCCTTGCATGATGTTGGTGCACGTCCGCTCGTCGTAGCTCAGGTTCACGAGGCATGATTTCTCCAAACACAGATTCTGCACCGCCAGACCAGCGAGGACACTGGGTAAAATGTAACATACTACATACGGCTCGACGGTGACTTTAGTTCTGAAGGACCAGGAATTTTTTATGATCTGCTTAAGCCTCCTGCTTAGCTTCCCCTCCCGTTTCTTTATCTCGCTACTGAAGGTTTTGCTACACTTGCATGTGTCTACATTCACAATCTTTTCGCCGGGCACTTCGACCCGCAACGTCATTTTCGTAAGAAATAACCACTTTATTGTTCATTTGTTTTCGGACATAATATTGTATGGGCTAATTTATTAACTCTAAATATCAGCAGTCAGTTTAACTATGATATTTTTCAGTCCATAAATATTTCGTGTAACGAATGAATGCGCGTGCGACTACGAAAATTCTATAAAGCGTTACGAGTGTCTTGGCCGAGCTCTGATCGACTACTAGCTATCAGCTGGCTGCTGTTACTGTTTAATTTGTACTTTATCTCGGTATCACGTGGCCATATTGTACGGCCGCTACTTATACACAAAATTTCATTTAAAAGTCGCCTGCGCCTACGCAGTTTTCCTATTCCCATGGGTGACCTTGGGAGCGCGGGACTGCAAGCATTTATTAGATTCCGTTTATCGTTTTTACTTTTAAAAGCGTGCGGATCACGTACGTAGTTACACGTTCCAATTTTTCCCATAAACTCGGTCAAGATGAAAATTGCGTAATGTTCCGATATTTACTATTGTCAATGAGTCCATAGTTAAAAAGTAATTTTTATCTCAAGGTTTCTAATTAATTTTTGCTCTCTTATACAATAACATTAGCCAAATGGTATAATAAATAAACAATCGAAATAAAAAAATGAAACACTTTTTACGGGCCCGTTGGTCTAACGGTAGTAATGTATGGCTAATCAAGAGTTCGTAGGTTCGACCCCCACACGAAACGACTCCATATACTATACCTAATTATAAACTTAATATAGGAAGAATTAAAAACATATTATTATATAACTTAACACACGTAAACCGGAAGGTTTCAAGAGACACAGTGAGAGGATAACCGAATGACCTCCACCATTGGGGAAATGGGTGAAGTGGTTAGCAGATAGTGTGGACTGATCAACCATTCTATCGGTTTCCCCAATGGAAAATCATAATAATAAAACTGGTAAGTACCATAATACAGTTGCGTTTGAAAAGGTCAGCTACGTTGGGACGAACGTCCCAACTGATATTCAGTGGCCCCATCAGAGGCCGAGGTGACACAAGCGACATTTGACATTAATTAAAAAAATACGACACGGGCAAGACTCGAACTGGCATTCACACGGTTCGTTTGAGCAAAGCACGACTTGCTGTGGCTGCCGATTGAAGTCCTGGCCACGTCGTACATTTATTCAATTTATAATCGATTTTTAATTTATATATTACCAACATGTGCAATAACACGTGAAAAATATTGAAGTACATTTATAATTACTATATATAACGAACAATAGCGTAACAAAACAGGTCCTTACGATTCTTTTACTTAAATTTGTATATTAGATTTAATGGCTTTAATTGAACCTTAAATAAAGTAAAATTATTTACTCGATACATACATATAGGGATTATATTTACATTTGTATTATTTTCCTTCTAATGTAATCTAACATACTCTCAAAAATACAGTCAAAAAGTAACCTTTAAAAGCTCGTTCTTTATTACAACAATTTTATACGCCTGACATAAATATTTCAACCATTATTTCACATTGCCAATGAAGTTTAGAAGGTTTAAAAATTTATGAGTTTAAAAATATCTAAACAATATTTTTGTTTGTTTAAACGCGCTTAACTACAAAATGAAAAAACAATCGAGGTAGGCTGTAGGCTATATATATAACATCAGGCTGCGACCGATAGAAGCAAAAAACAATGTAAGATCTGATGTATTTATAGTAATTTAATAATAGTAAATACTTTCTATAGTTTACGCGAATAGTACACATTTTAATAAAACACTTTAACGGTTTAATACGCGATATATGTATGTATTAGTTAGACTTATTTCACCACGGCTGCTTCAAAGCATCCGAAACGTCGGGCCTAAGTTAAAAATCATTTTCAAATTTAAAATATTTTTTTCCAATCTACTACTTCTCTGTTTTTATTTATACAATTATAAACATTATCTACCATTACAGAAATATCCACTGCAATATAATTTTTTGTCAATTCACCTAAGCTCTCGCGATCAGTTCTTGTATTTGTTGAATGAACTACTTCTATTACAGTTTTATGTAAAAACAATAATTTTAAACAGACTGTGTAAATCGAAAATATGAATCAGAATAAACTACAAACAAAACTCTATATCTGTGAATAATGTGTAACATAATTTATTCAAAGGTCTAGGCCGTAGATTTCCCAATTCATTGAATACATTTTGTCATTCTTTGTTGGTCACGTCTAATATAACAATTACTTGAATGTTTTTGATGTTGTTATTTATTACCGTGTTACGTTCATATATTTTCGCCTTTGTTGGGTTGAAACAAAAGTACTTTGATGATTTGGAGAAAAAAAAATCTTTGTAAATACGATAGTGATTAATTAGATTCTGACATCATTCTTAATTAATTTAGTAGTTTCTAAAATAAACAATCTTTTGACGCCTTGTTTCTTAAAGCAAAGCAAGATGTCCAAGTAGAGAACAAGTATGTTCAATAACTTGTTCGTTAATAAAATCGAAAAGTATCCTTTAAGTATTTAAAGACATATAGTTCTTATATAAATACAATTTAATATTTTATCATTACCTCTATGATGATTAGGAAGATCCTTGATGTTGCGGTATTAGACTCGAGCAATAATTACAGACAGAAACCAGTTTTTTTGAACATCCAAAGTCATCGGTGATGTCAGTCCACAACGGAGCTTACAAATAAACACAGTCGTAGATCAATAATAAATAAAAAGTTCTTGTGAATGTGTTAAAAAGTAAAAATGCCGGATAAAACGACAAGTGAACTTGAACTCACGGATATAATAAGATCTACCAAAAATGATGACACTGCAGAAAAAGTCACAATGCAGGAGAGACTGAAGAAATTCCTCGACTTTTTCACAGTGGAACCATTCTTGTTCTGTTACATCCTGCCCAGTATTATAGTGGGGGTGGCTACCCAGAATCTGAACATGGTTAAAGCCTGCCAAGCGGACCTGGGTTATCCAGAAAGCATTTGTGAAAATGTCGTCGACAATTGTAATGAGAATGATACTGTGGCCGCATGCACTGAATCACAGAAGTTAGTAGCAAATATGCTCGCCTGGAGTCAACCCTTACAAAGCAGTTTGCCAGCGATTGTGATCTTATTCGTTGGAGCATGGAGTGATAAGACAGGGAATAGGAAAGCCTTGATGCTTATTCCCATTTTAGGTGAAATTGTTTCGTGCATCGGACTAATACTAGCCACTTATTTTACTCACTGGCCATTGTGGTTTACTGGTTTAATAGAATCTGTGCCTTCAGCCCTTTCTGGTGGTATGTCTATCGCGTTGATGGGTTCTTACAGTTATTTAGCTGATGTTACAAGTGTGGATTCGCGTACTTTCAGATTGGGACTTGTGGGTATCATCGTTACGTTAGGAGTTCCCTTAGGATCGTCTATTAGTGGAATTTTAGTTACTACATTAGGGTATTATGGTGTTTTTAGTTTGGGGATTGTGTTGTATGCTCTTGGATTTCTGCAGACCTATTTCAGGGTACATGACGTCAAACACGAGCCTCTACAAGGAACGTTTTTCAGTAAAGTGATACAGTTCTTCCACCCGATGAATGCGTGGGATACATTTTCGATAGTAATCTTATCACGGGGCAAAAAACTATTACAAATATTGCTTATAATTTTCGCACATATTGTTGTGATTGGACCTGTATTCGGTGAGTTTTTTATTGGTTGCATGTTCATCTATACCAGCAAGCAATGTAATATCTATGCGTACACAGATTAATGATTTTTCATTTTAATGATTAGGATCCGGGTGTAACCACTTAACCGTTTATGTCTATCACAAAAAAATCTAATTGAACAACAGTACAGTCACCGGCAAAAGCCAGATTCTTTGTTTCTTTTAATGTAACGATAATATATAATACTGTTACTTTTATATAGCAATGTACTTTATGTAAAAAGTAACACTTATATGTAATTTAAAGATACCTGTTTAACGTTGCACTGTCATTGTATTAACTACTAGCTGCGCCAGCGACTTCGTCCGGGTGGAATATTTATTTTGGGCATTCAAATTTGTTGTTTGTAAACCTAGAAGTACTACACCCACGACATCGGTCATTCGTGTCCCGTCATTCTTACAAGTTAATCTTAAAAGATAGACATATTGCGTCGCGGACATTTTAATAGATCATTTAAGAAACATAAATCTTTTATACATATGTTTCGCGTGTCTTGAACCGTTTTTGCAGCGTACCGTGCATCGGAAAACCAGAGATGAATAATTTCCCCCCGTCTTTCTCACTTTTCTCGCTGTTTCTTCGCTCCTATTAGTCACAGCGCGATGTTTTATATAACCTATAGCTTTGCTCGATAAATTCTCCACCTAACACAAAAAGGATTTTTCAATTCGAACCAGTACTTCCTGAGATTAGCGCGTTCAAACAAACTCCTCAGCTTGATATACTATAGATATTATTTTTGTATGAAAAATGTCCAGTAAAAGAATTCGAACCTTTGTATATTCTCAGTGATTGTATATATTATGTATTTTGTTTTATTACAGGTGAGGGTCCGTTACTGTTCTACTATTTGACAAGCAAATATGAAATGAGTGTTGTGGATTTCAGTTTATTTACAACTTACTCGGTTCTTATGGGAATAGTAGGTAATTGTTATGTAGTGTACATATTTATACTTTGTCTTATATTTGCCTTTCTCTATAATAATCTTATTTAACCCTAGCTGGTCCGGAAAACTATGTTTTAGCGTTTGCATTCATATTATTATGTCGATGCAACTCTTACAAAGAATCGGTACCGTTGCGATTTTTATACCATATTTTATTACCATTAAATCTCAAAATATTAACAAATACTATCGCGGACATATTTTAGATCATTTAGAGGAATCGTTATTTCATTTTTTGGTTTCTTGAAACGTTTCCGCAGTGCGCGCAACGGAAGCTCTCAAAGATGTGTAACTTTCCACGATTTTTCACATTTGACACTGTTTATTAGCTTATATCAATGACAGCGTGATTTTATATAGCCTAAAGCCTTTACCGATACATGGTTTATCCAACAAACTACTAACTACATAACACAGATTTTTTTAATTGGACCCAGTAATTCCTGAGATAAGCGCGTTTGAACAAACAAACTGTTCAGCTTACTGTCAACTATCGTTATCGTCAATTGTCAAACTTGTCAGTTGTTATAAGAAAGCTTAGGACCTCAATAGGTTGATTAAAATATAACCAAGCGATAGCTTTGTTAACATACAATAAACATGAGGGGCTGAGTGCCGTAAGTTCGAGTACCGGGTAGCATATTTCTTAAATCCCAATTCCTGACAATATTAATAGGTACTTACATCAACTTTCTACCGCCTTTGTAGCTAAATGGTTAAACGTGTTGCCTAGCATTGCGTTAAGCGCGAGAGGTCCTGGATGGGAATCCCAGGGAAACATAAAATTGTTTCGGTCGGGCAGGGCACAGAAGTCTGATCAACTACTTGCCTGTAAATAAAACCGATTAGTGAAACGGATGTGTGTTCACCCTATGCCCCACGAGGGGAAACGGGATTTCACTTTTACATTAAGTTCCTATTTTTTTACATGTACAAAACCAATGCGTATTAACGTAGTTAATAACTCTTAATAAACTTTCTAATGTTACTCATCAATTGTAAATACTAAAAAAAATTATGTAGATATCTTTTGAGTTGTCTGTAATTTTATGCATCTAGTGCACATTAAAATAAATCACTTTTAAGTCTAAAACGTGAAATGTATAAGTAAACCTTACATTTATTTTAACTACGACGTTTTGGAAGCTACGTAACAACAACAGCCACGGCAGATGCATCAGCCGTGGTCACGTGGACAAAGCTAAAACGTCAGGCCTTAGGAAAATAAATATATTTCGCTTTTTAAACCGTTAAGAGTGTTTTATGGAAATGTAAACTACTTACTGTCTATAGTTTACGCGAGTATTACACATTTAAATAAAGGACTTTAACGGTTTAAAACGCGACATATTAGTTAAACTTCAGATAATGTCAAAACTTTTTAACCGATTATCTCTCGATGTGACGATTTTCGCCCATTTTTCAAAGCTTTGTATATAAATTGACTGGTGTATCTTCCTATGTTTCAGGTACGTCAATAGCAGTCACACTTTTCAGCAAGATATTAAAAATGCACGATGCCATAATTGGTACAATTTCCACCACCAGCAAAATCCTTGGAAGCTTCTTCTACGGATTGGCGCCGACTACAAAATGGGTTTATTTTAGTCCCATTCTTGATATCTTTGGGAACTCGGGGACTGCGATAGTCAGGTCGTTGGGGACTAAAGTGGTTGAACCTGATCAAGTTGGTGAGTAGTTCAATTAGAATCGTTTACTCCACGTCTCCACCGTTTATAAGACGATTGAGAATTTCGTTAAATGCAGATCTTTGATAATAATTCAATTGATAGAGCAATGGCACTGTTGGTCGTGGATTCGATTCCCGCTTATTTCTTCACTTTGTTAACGTACAAATATTTTCAGTTTTATACGTAAAAATTATTAATAAGATTTGGTCTGTAATGTAATAAGTTGGCACTGATGGTCGTGGATTCGATTCCCGCTTATTTCTTCACTTTCTTAACGTACAAATATTTTCAGTTTTATACGTAAAAATTATTAATAAGACCAAAATTTGGTGTTTGTTATTTTTATTTTTCCCGTTTTAAAAGGTAGGGCACACAGGCCTCTTGCCCAATACATTCTGATGTATTGGGCAATGATGTTAGAACAATAATATTATTAACACTGTTTATTTGTTTTGTGTATATTATTTAAATTTAACCGTATTATATATCACAGATAAATAGTAGTGTTATATCTTCTATCGGTGTAGTTTTTTGTATTCCGTTTACTTTATTATGTAAGATTCCATGAGACACTCGTTTAAATTTTAAACATTTTTTACTTAACAGGATTCGAATTTACGACGAAATTAAATGTTCTGCATACGGCTTATAGTTCTACATAAAACTAAATCATACGCAAAGGCCATTAAAACTGGTCGAGCGAGATATTAAAAAAATATGAATTCTTAAACGAATCCTGATTGGAACTTATTTCGGAATACCTTAATAATTACAATATAAATGATTTGACCTTGTTGTGTCGAATGTGGGTTCGAATCCTAGTACGATTCTAACATGTTTCCAATAAGTTTGAATATCTTTATTAATGTTAAACTTCGTCTCTAACTCTATGACCTAAATACCGTCTGGGTCACGATCGACTATTCACCGATGAAAAAGCCGCCAAATTTAATCGCAAACTCTATTACTGATATGATTCAATACTTATATCCTAACGACTCAAAAAATATAAAAAATGCTCAACGCTAACATTTAATGATTTACTGTTGCCGGCATAACTGCAAACAGTAATATTTGTATTCTACCCTCATTGTTTTGTATGTCAACTTTTCAGGCAAAATGTGTTCCCTAATCGGTTTTGTAGAAGCCGTGATTCCCGTTATTTACACGCCTATATATAGCCAAGTATACTCTTCGGCCCTTGACACGTTTCCCGGGGCGCATTACCTTCTTGGCGGCGCCATGACCGTGCCGGCTCTCTTCATCTTTATGTAAGTATCGTTGTGTCGTTTACCTATATTTCCTAAGTAAAACTTTACATTAAATTAAAAGCTATATAGAATTACAATTTTGAGCTAACGATACCAATTGAGCTATCGTGTCTTACTGTCAATTGTCTTGGTTTCCGCTTATTTTCCCGCTCGTACCTATCATCATTTTTTTTATTCTAGTTAGAGTAATAATAAGTGTGAAAAATATTTAGTTTTTTTTAAAAAAACATTATTTAAATTAAGAGATCGTAAGACACAAAGAAGTAGTCTGTAGATGTTGTTTAGTGTATAATACCAACGAATATGCTTGGATAATTGAGGATTATTTAGACAGATTTAAAGTTTTCAATAGTACTAAGTAATACTGTCTGTAGCTTACGCGAGTAGTACACATTTGAATAAAACACTTTAACAGTTTAAAACGCGATATATATATTAGATAAAATTGTTTGAAAATTATTTTAACTACTGGGAGACAAATAATATTCAAACAAGTTTATCTAATAAATATCGCGTTTAAAACCGTTAAAGTAGTATTGATTACTTAGACGCGTATTATTTGAGAAAAGTAGGTGCTATATAAGATGCAACAAGGCATTCATGGATTTATTTTACTTCATACATTCGTCCACCAATGCCTCTCTTGCCGGCCGCCTCAATTAATATATTATTTTTTCATTTTGATCTTGTTAATTATAGTCTAATTATATTTAGTTTCTTATTATTTTGAAGGCTCTATACGCATATTGTAACACAATAAACACGTTTAATTACCGTTAATTAGGATAACGAATAATTGATGGAAAGTTTACTGATAACATTAGTAGTGATGGCCTTTTATTAATAGGTACAATTTAGTAATTCTAATTTTAATATTACATTGTTTTCTTTTCATGGCTCCTTCTTATCAAATAAGTTCGTTACGCCTCTGTATCGAAATTGCTTAACACTTAATGAGGTTTGTATATTGCTTGACGACAATAAGATATATATTTCGATTTAAATAAAACACTTTAACAGTTTAAAACGCGATATATATTAGTTAATCTTGTTTGAAAAATATTTTTAACTATGGCCCGACGTGTCGGACTACGACTGCTGCAAAGCACTTAAAACATTTTAAATGCATGATCATTTGATTTAATTATCTCCGCCAGTTAGGCTAAAAAATCCATAGTAATGATTTATATGGCACAAGAAAGTTTTTCGAGTAAGCTAGTACTATTATATATAAGGTTATATAAAATTATTCTCTGATATTATAACAGTCTAACATCTTCTTCTTCCAGAACATTATACATAATGCACAGACGCGAACAGAAAGACGTCGTTAAGGACCCCCAAGCCAAGGAGATGCATGCACATGAGAATGATACCGTATTGTAATCTTAATGAAAACATGACCAACTATACGTGAATGTACATAATAAATATTTTTAAAGAGTTTGTTTCATTGTATAGATTTCTGATCCTTAATGGTTGGTCAAAGATTCATGGACAGATTCACATGGTAGAAAGAAGGTGGAATACATCATCTCAACAATACGCGCTGTCGACCTTTTGACCTATGTTGTATTCACGATTTTCTAATATCCAAGAAACCGAAACGCGATTAAACTTGACAGCTTCATCTGTAGACAATGGTTCGTGAGCTGGATGGAATTTCGATATTCCTGCCACTCATTTAATAGTTTTTTGTGGTGTGTATATAAATAATAAAGATATAAAATAAATCCAGATTTCCAAACGAAGTGCAGCATAATTTAGAAAAATTACAGATGTCGAAGTTACGGTCTGTTGACTGTTAGAAGTCCTAACCTTTGCAACAACGACTGGTGGTCCGTCAAAAACTGGTGACCACCACGTCAACCACATCGTGAGAAACGCGTTACGGCGCCAGTTTGTTACCATTTCCGTCAGGCTAAACGCATATATTCATTTATTAAATTTTTTTTAGAATTACGTATTAATAATATTTCAGTTTTATAATCTAACAGGTCCTATCATAGAATTATTTTAAGTAAAAAAATAGCGCCTGTTATAAAAATGAATGCATTCGTCTAATCTAACATTTGTAATCATATGATCGGGAGTAATTATTTTCTTAAACGTCGCCATCGATACTTAAACGCCAATGTTAAGCAGTTAAGGTTCTGGTATTCAATCCCGGGAAACATAATTCAGGTCACGTGAAATAAATGTTACTAAAATATGAGTTTCAAAGTAAGTAATTGAAGTTCAATCGTTTAAAAAACAATTTTAATTCGGTTTTTATAATACACAACGAAAGACAATGGTGCACAGATAAGTTATTAAACTTATCTATGAACACTGCCTATAGTCTATGAACGAGGAGTATACTTCACGTACTGTGCCTTACACATTTCTATAGGCGTAATTATAATTATTATCTAAAAATTAAATGTCTTTTTTATATTACTGCCTTTAAAAGAATAAGGTAAAAATATGATTAATAAGGATTTCACTGAAAATATAAGTTTCAAGGTTTGGAATTCCGGTCAAGAACAATGTGTGGTTGAGTTTTCCTTCGCGATGTAATTGTGACGTAATTATTAAGTAGGTACACAAGGTGTGTGCTGATACTATAAACCTATTTTTTGCATCATAACGTCAACGTTTAAAGTCAACTTTAAATAATATAATACTCAGATTATTAATTGTTTTTAGATGTAGTCACTATAAATGCTAGCATAGTGATTTATATTATACTAGCTGTGTCAGCGACTTCGTTCGCGTAGGGCATCAAAATTTGTTTTTGCAAACATCTAAATCTTTATAAATTTAAGCTACATGGCATCGATGGTCCCGTCGCCCCCGATCCATCGTTCGGGTCCCAAAGGTAATCTTAAAAGATAGACATATAGTGTCGCGGACATTTTTTAGATCATTTAAAGAGCATGCATATTTTTTGGGTGTCTTGAATCGTTTTGCCGAGTACTCATCTGGAACCCACAGAGATAGAAAAAATTCCCCCGTTTTGTTCACATTTCCCGCTGTATTTTTGCTTCTATAGTCACAGAGTATTTTATTGTGTGTTATTTTTCACTCCTGTGTTTGATCATTTAGCTATATTAGTATAGATATCACTTAAACATTTTTTTACTTAGTGTTAGGAAGATTTATTACATATTTGCTGTCATAGTTACTAAGAAAAGGACGAATAAGTTTCAGTTAAATATGAACTTAATGTAATGATATGCGAATTTAAATGAATAAATTCAGATACATCGAGGTCTATTGTCTGCCACTCATAGTTGCTTATTTTTAGTCTGTATTAGTTACATTTAGTTTCCTTGGCATATCCCTGCCATTTTTACTTCAAAAAACGGTACCATATTACTAAGACTTCGTTCTTCTTCTTCGTTACTCTCTCTCAGGCTGTATCTCAAGAGCAGCGACAAATAAAATTTTCAAAAAGAGTTTTTTGTCTGTTGTAGTGTTTTATCATTAAATTTGTCCCCTGGTTTTAAAACTATTTTATTTTTATTTTATCATAGTTGACGACATCTCTAAATAAATAAACAATCAAATAGTTATTATCGTAAAATTAAACCAAATAACAATAATATTATCATTATTATTAAAGCTGTTTCCACATTATGTAATCCGGAATTATTCTAATAATCCGAAAGAAGCGATATCGATAGGCAATATAGGTCGACGACTCATCTGCCCTCTTTTGTATTCCAAACAGACAAGTTTATGATACTGAATTATAATAAAAGTTTAAAACTAAACAACAAAGTACTTGGCGCTGATATGCTAAATAACTGTGCGATAGGTAATTTACCATAACCTACTTAGTTAAAATGTTACAATTAAGCTATCTGTAACAATAACTTATTACTGATATTTACTTTGTAAGTATTTACAGCATAGGCGATAAGTACTTTCGTAATGTTTTTAAAATCCCTAATGAAAAAGGCAATCATAAAGTCATACAACAATATTGTCTAAACTCTTCAGTTTGTTCCTAGTGACCACGGTGATTTTTTAATACGAATATAAGCAATATAAAACCGGTTAGTTTTAAGAGCCAGTAGACGAAACGGTCAAAAAAATCATCACTTTAGGCGCGAAACGTTCAAACGTCACTATCGAATTACAGATAACAAAAACGTTTAAAATTTCAACTGTCAGTATTTACACATCCATTCAGCGGCTTACGCTCAAGGTGTTCAGATAAATGAAATTTATTAAAACACTTGTCGTCCGCGATGAGACCTCTGTTATCGTGGTAAACGAGATGCGAGCCACTCGTACGAGTCAGCGCTCTCTCGCGCCGTATTTTACAACCTGACATTAACAACCCTGGTTTTTGGAAACGACACTCGGAAAGCCACGGATTAAGTAGTCGCTATCGGTCGCGGCGACGAATACCAAGTGTACTCTTGTGCGTGGATCAAATTGCGAACACTTTTACTAACTCTCACTTTTATTATGAGCGCTAGTACGGTCAACCTATGCGGCTCGGTCGACTTCACCAAATCGAATATACAGCTCACAGACAATCAAGCGAAGACATGGCGGGAGAGGTCCAAATGCCAATTAAAAAAGGTCAAGAACGTGATCCGAGAGACCACGGTAGAGCCGTGCCTGTTTACGTACATGCTCTGTACGGCGCTGTCTTCACTAGCAGTACAGAATATGCACTTGGAAAAATCGTGCAGAGTCAACTTCAACTATTCAAGTGACATATGCGATAGAATATCGAATAGAAACACGACCGGGCTGGATGAAGAGCTGAACAACGTCCAATCACTGGTGGCTAAAGTGGTAGCTTGGAAGTTCCCTCTACAAACAGCTATACCAGCCGTCATAGTTTTATTCGTGGGAGCCTGGAGTGATAGAACGAAGAAGCGGAAAGTATGCATTCTCTTCCCGTTTATCGGGGAGATAATAGCGAACATAGGACTGTTGTTCGCGACGTACTATTTTTATGAGCTATCGTTGATCACGACTGCCTTGATAGAGGCGCTGCCCGCGGCGTTTACTGGTAGTTACATCATAATGTTCATGGGAATGTACAGTTTCATGGCGGATAGAACGACCGTAGAAGACAGGACTTTTCGTCTGGGCGTTGTCACTATATGTGTCAGCCTTGGTACACCAGCAGGAACCGCGATAAGTGGTATAGCTTTGAAGGCCTTAGGTTACTATGGTGTGTTCTCTTTGTTACTGGTTCTACATATTTGCTCCTTACTCTATGGTTTGTTTAAGTTAGAAGATGTGCTACCTATAGATGATAATAGGAGTTCTAATCGTGAGAACGACTGTAACAATAGGGTGTTAGAGGTGTTCGGTTTAGTGGCAAATACAGTGATGGTGGCTATACGCCCGCGTCTATATGAACTTAGGAAGCAGATTTTCTGTGTGATCATATTGTATCTTCTGATGGTGGGACCGTTGTACGGTGAGTGACAAAGACATTTTATTAACGAGCGGTCATTTATTAATAGCATTCTAATTATAAGTCAGTAAACTCGATGTATCAGTGTTATCAGAATTCGTGTAAACCGTTCGTAACAATGATAGGCGTGTTTCCGTAATTTTATCAAAGTAAAGGTTTGTTAAGATTTTTGTCTTAACATTGGCTTTAATTTTAAAGAACTTCTTTTTCCTTGTAGTGAATATTTCAATGGTATTTATTCACTTCAGACGTCAGATGAAAACCATTTTTCAAATTAAGAATTTAAATTAATAATGAATGTCCCTGCCGCATTTTTAACTCAATTAGGTCTGTCCGATTGATTATGTGGTATTGCCATGTTAACTTTTTGTTTTTATAAACCTACATTGCTTAGCTAATTCTTCACTTTTGAGATTTTATATCAGTGTAACGGATATATAAATATGATTTTTCAACTCCACAGAAGGAAGTTGGAATTTTACAACTGACATTATAAATTTAAAAGAAAACTAAAACTACAACAGATAAAAAAATAATTCACGCTTATAATAATCAAACAGTTCGTTCATATTTGCTTAAATCATAAGTTATTACGTTTAAATTTACGATCTTAACCATAATACACCCAGATAACCCACTGAATGCGCACGCGCAGAGAAACTATGCAGTGATTGACACATTTATTTTTACAAGAACTGTCTCATTAGCGCTGGCGTCTTTCGATCAAATGTATGTATAACTGCATTTGGGTCGTTCCACTCAAACAAACGAGGTAAACAGCTGTCCGCACACGCAATATTGCACGTTCGATAGCAAAAACCTAATTTATACAAGGTTCGGCGCTTATTTTCATAGAGTATAGAGCGAGCGCAGGTGGCATAGCTGTGTGAAAGACTGACTAAAAAATGGTTTAGAGATAATAAATTCATATTTTTAACACATTATTGCACATGATAGCATTGTATAAATTAAATATCGATTTTAAATGTGGAGATGCATGTATTAAACAAAATCGACGATGACGCGTAGGAGACAGTGGCTCAATTAATTAGGCAACAGCAGTGACTTTTCAATCCAAAATCAATTCGAATTTTAAAAATCATTTATTCGTGTAGGTAGCTAGATACACTTATGAACGTGAATATAGTTAAAAATTAAAAAATCTAAACTTACAGTTAATACCAGTTCCCAAATTAAGAGCATAGATCGAACGAAAACAACTGGCAGGAAACTCGCCACTCCTTTTATAGTCAATTTTTTATTTTGCTATTAAAAATAAGTAATCCCCCTTATCCCCTTTAAATAAAACACTTTTAACGGTATAACTTTAACGTTAATAGTGTTTTATTTAAACGTAATAACTCGAATAAACATTCAGACTCTAAATGAACCTTTCAGTCTTGCCAGCAATAAATAAAGTTTTCGGAGCTATTGATACGAAGCGCTGTAAAAAGTAGAACAAGCTGCACAAATTAAAACGTTTAAAACTGTTGAAAATTAAATCCCCAATATCCACAGCTATTAAATAAACTCAAACGAAAGTGATAGCTATATCGTAGCGCGGAGATCAAAGTTATCAAGGCCGCTTGAATGCCAACGGCAATATAGTACCACTTTCATTAATGATTAACCAGTGAGCGATATACAGTTTTGTAAGTTTATTAATTCACTGCATTATGCAGGAATTGTCGGGATAAATAGGTCGCGAGTACATAATTTGCAATTGAATGCATGAGGGCTTATGTATTTTGAAATCAAATAGATTTTGACACGAGCGAGACTCGGAGCTACAATGTACAGCGCTGCTTATTGTGAAACGATAGCTCAAGAGGATTATGTGGTACTAATTTTTTTTTTCTTTTGATAATTGGCACTATACTATTCTTAAATATTTATTTGTTTTTCAAAAGTTAAAGTTAAATATCCATGTAGGAACCGTTATAATACACTAGCTAATCCGGCAAACGTTGTTTTGTGTGTGCAAGATAAATATTATTCTGTTGATACACCTCCAACAAATAATTTGCGATAATGCATTAATTTCGACCAAATTTGATTACCATAACAATGGTAATTGCGAGATAGAGAATTACCGTCGCAAAATTTTAATAGATCACTTTTAAATAAAACACTTTAACGGTTTAAAACGCGATATATTAGTTAAAAATCATTTTCAAATAAGTTTAACTAATATATCGCGTATTAAACCTTAAAGTTTTTATTTAAATGTGTACTACTCGCGTAAACTAGGTATAGACAGTATTTAATAGATTCCATTTTGTTAGTTTTGGTTTCTTAAACCGTTTTTCTGCGCATGCAACGGTAGACCTCAAAGATTTTTACGTTTCACAATCTTAATATTTCTTATATGTGCCATAAAATAGTCTATACAACACAAAAATAATTTTTAAATTCAAACCAGGAGCTCATGAGATTAGCACGCTTAAACAAACAAACGATATTGGGAACACATACATCATAATAATTTTTGCGTCATTTTACTAACACAACGTAAATGTAACAAGAAAATACAAACGTACTTACCCTTAAAACACCCCGGGTGAGACAAGTACGCCTCCATTTATAGTATCAAACTAACAAATTGTTTGTACTTCACTTAAGACTATCACAGGCTCTTGTGAAATTCCTAATATTGAGAATTTATTGCATCTATAAAACTGTTTCTCTACCACTACACCTTTTTTGGGTTCCGTAAAACAATTAACAAATTACATAATTAATTCGTTTCCTTAATACACAACTCGTAAATATCTATTGGATATTATCATCTTTATTGTGCTTCTGTTTCTATATTATGTTTAACCTACAGACATTTTACACGTACAGACAACCTATAGATTCATTATTATACTATAGATGTGAAGTAGAAAATATACATAGTTAAATTGTTTATATAACATATTGCATCACATGATTACAGCTATGGTGTAATCCGCGTTATTCTAATGGAATGTTGCCACTTCATTAAATGTAACAGTTTTAAACTGTGAGACTGGTTTAAAAGATTTTTTATCTGTGTTAGGCTATACAATTTTTTGTAACAATGTAGACTATGTCACGTTCTACTTTAAATATAGACATACCAAGTCATAAAGTTAAAAAAAACATGGCGGGCGTTTTATTTCCCGTGCAAAATAAAATTTAAAAAAAAATTTATATTATGCACGGGAATTATTACAAATACGTTGAAATCTATATTTTGATAAAAATAATATTATAGGTATAGCTTATATTTATTACAACGATTACTGTCTAATATGTTTAAAATTAATACGCGATTATGATAAGAGTGAAAATGTCTGAGGTTAAGTGAAAGCGGACACAGGTTTTTGCATAATTATTTGTAAGTAACCTATTTAAATAAAATATACGGTTTAGAGCGCGAAATATATTCGTTAATTTATTTACATTTATTTTAACAACGGCCCGACGTTTTGATTGCTTCGCAGCAGCCGTGGACGCGTCTGGCTGTAGTTGAAATAAATTAAACAATATATTTTGCGTTTTTAACTTTAAATAAAACACTTTAACGGTTTAAATCGCCATATTTATTAGTTAAACTTATTAAAAAAAAATTTTAACTATTTTATTTAACAAATAATTTTACCTAATATATATTGTTTTAAACCGTTAAAGTGTTTTACAAAATTTATACTACAGACAATACTTAGGTAACCTATTTAGCTTAAAATATGTTACTTTTGCATTTGATGTACAATTAAAACTGCGTTTTAGTTTTTCTACTATCGTTGGTACGTCGGAATAATCTTGGTTCCCATGAGAACATACGCCTCTTCACTATAAATGCCAACACGTCGTCGACTTAGATATTACAGTAAAAGGAAAATAATTTTCTATCTCTCCCGACATTTTTCAAACATGACACTTAAGTTAAAATCGGGTGACTCAAACGCTTATTTATATGTCTTCTTACGTAAATTAATAGCCGTATGTAGAACCAATTGAATGTTTCGGTCGAACAGGGCATAGAAACTCTCTTACAGATTATCCCTTTAAATTGTTCTTGAGAACATTTGCGTCCCTTTAAACTTATTATTTTTTTAAAGTATTCACTTGTGAAGAAATGTTGGATCAAAATTAGTATATAAACTATACAAAAAATTATAAAACGGGCACAGAATTGAGTCCGCCCCATTTCCCACAGGATAACAATTTCACTTCCTTATAAAAATTACGTATCAAATAAACGTCATCATTTAAATAAAAATCGTTAAATCTTTTTTTTTTTATTATATTTAATCGTTTTGATATTCTAAAAGATCAAGTTTTAAAAATGTATATTATAACATAGGATTTTTAATCTGTTATCTAATATATAAATACACTTCTAAAAATAATAGATTTTAGATAGATAGACGTATTACAAATATAAATACATAACATTTTTTTTGTAGTCTGTGTCGTATTTTATTTGCTATGTCATTAAGACAACAGATTATAAATTCCTTTTATAATCTGTTGCACTGAAGCACAGATTATAAAAGTACGTTCGCCGTGTTAATGACCTCCAATGATAACGCTAGACAATTGTTTACAATCTACTTTTGTTCCAGGGGACTCTCAAGTCGGCTATCTTTACGCGATTCGAAAGTTCAACTTCGATGAAGTGGAATATAGTATATACGGAACCATCAATATGACGTTGGGGCTTATAGGTAAGTAAAGCTTTATAGAACAACATAGTCTATCATTTATATCAATATTATAAAGATGAAGAGTTTGTTTGTTTGTACGCGCTAATCTCGGGAACGAATCTTTCGAATTTGAAAATTATTATAGTGTTATTTAAAGCATTTATCGAAATAAAAAAAATGTCCGCGACAGTTTCAATGTATATGTTTTAAAATTAACTCGCAAGAGCGACGAGACGAAGACGACGCGGACGTCCAGGTGGTTTGCAAGTTTGATGCACAAAATAATTATGTCACAGGGACAAAGACGTAGATAAAGATGTATATTAAATTACCGTCAAATGCCTACTATATTGCTCCAAGTCCGAGGTTCAAATAAAAAAAAAATAGTTAATTTATCAAGAAGTATTAAGATAATTAATATGGAAGGAAATTGAGTGTGCAAAAAGTACTGTTTTAAATTAATCTTCGTAAAATCAATTTAAAAGCATTTAATTTCGATTAAAATGTTAATAGAATATGTTTCATCTGTAAGTTAGGTATTCGTTTATATATTTCAATAAAAAATAAGACGGCATATTATTTCGGTGGTAATAACTACAGGTTTGTGGACTGAGGTTACTGCCCTCCTAAGTCACTTATCGCGCTAATGAGAAAACAGTTTTAGTAATCTTCATCTAAAACTTAAAATTATAACGATTTATATAAAATATAATATTATTGTTAAACTTCTAAGTGTATTTTGCATTTTATTCAACATACTAACTAATAACATATATCTGTTATCAACATTGCCATGTAAGCAAATTAATTTTAAATAAAACCTTTTTAACTGGCAACTGAAACTTCTGGGCGTAGTTAAATTGAATTAAAACTAAGTTAACTAATATAATTCGCGTATAAAAGGTTAATGTGTATTTGTGCGTTCTTATCCCATATACGCTGTAGTTTAAAAAAATGCAATATTGTCTGTACATTACAACTATACATTAAAAATAAACAACAAAATAATTTAACGCATTAGAACTTACTTGCAATGTTTTTCTTGCAAGATAAAAAAATAGATTATCTATACTAATATATAAAGCTGAAGAGTTTGTTTGTTTGACCGCGCTCCTCGAACTTCTCGAGCTCCTCCGCCTTCAGAACTGCGGGTTCGAATTGAAAAATTATTTTTGTGTTGCTTAGAACAATTATTGTGGAAGGCTAAAGGATATAAAACATCGCCCTGTGACTTATAAAAGCAAGCGAGAAATGTGAAAAAAAATTGGAAAAATTAATCATCATTATGGGTTCCCGAGGCTTCCGCTGCAAAAACAGTTCAAGATACCCAAAAAATATGTATGAATGAATGATTCCTCTTTAAATGAAGTAAACAAAGGCCGCGACACTATGTGTGTATCATTTAGGATTAACCTGCAAGAGCGACCGACGTCGTGGGTAACAGGTTAAGTTTATAAAGATGAAGAGGTTTGCAAAAAGGAATTTGGTTACCCAAAATTCTACGCGGACAAAGTCGCTGTCACAGTTAGTCGAACATAAAATTAAATTTCTTCAAAACAACTCCTTATAAAATGAAACGTTTAATATGATGTTTGTCCATACCTATATAAAGTTTATTCGTGAAATATTGATGTTCATATAATTTATGCATATTTTAGACTCGTTTAGTTTAGACGTCAAAGCTTGATTACTATCTTGTTGTTGAATAAAACTTGCATTTTAAGAAAGATAACGAAATATTTGAGCCGTTAATGTCGCGACCTGCGCTTGATTTGTTGCAATAATTGCGCATTTAAATTATTACTACGCAATAAATATCGTCTTTAAATAATTTTATTACTGTGTGTATGTATGTAAATGAATTTTAATGAGTTTTTTTTAATGTGAGCCATCGAAGTAGTAGATTTTGAATTTGTTTGTTTTCGACATATTGTCGATAATTGCTAGAGATGTTGTTTACAATGCGATTATCGACAAATTCGTGTATGATTTTAAATATATAATATATAAAAGTAGGAAACCCTAACATAACTTAAGCCAAGGCTTTTATATATAAGTTGCTGTACCACAAAGTCTTAGATGATATATTTACTGTTAAAACTATATGTATGTATGAATTTAAAAGTCGTGTTTTTCGTATGTAGCTAAGGGATAGGAATTGGGATTATACTATAACTTTAAAATGTTACCTGTCAAATCTGTAGGCGAAATAAATGGCCACATTTATATAGGTACTGGACCTGACACAAATTTTAGTGACCGGTAATAAATCACAAAGCGTTTGTTTTACTTTGATGTATTAAATACCAAAAAAATTGTTTTTTCGTTAAGTATATATTAATAATGTAATGTAGACGTTATTAATGTTATCTAAAGATAAATTTGATATGCGAATTCTAAGGATATGTTCTAAACAAACAGATTAAAAAACCTTATTTGGCGGAATAATTCATATATTTTTTTCTAGCTTCAATGTGAGTTAATATTAATATTTCATAGAATAAAAAATTAACGGATTTTTTGATATAACACTTATCTGGTTATCGTCAGGTACGATTTGGCCATTCTTTCGTAATATATTTGACACCAAAGCTCAATAAAAAGTTGAGTTTGTTAAGTGGTTTTAATAAACAACGCCGAGCAAACTAAAACACTGAAAACACGAATCACATTTCTTGATCTTCAGTGTTTTATTTATTGTTATTCTAATTTTTTTTTTTTTTTTTTTTGGGGGAGGGGGGGGGGGGGGGCGGGGGCCCCGGCGCAGATTTTTTTTTTTTCGGGGGTTGGGGGCCCGGGGGGGGGGGGGGGGGGGCGGGGGGGGGTCCCCCCCCGGGGGGGGGAGGTTTTCCCGGTTTTTCCCCCCCCGGGGGGGGGGGCCTCCGGGGGGGGTTTTAGCCCAAAAACAATGGTATGCTGGCTAAAAGTATTTAATCGCGTAAGCTATGTTTAGTTATAACCAAAATTGTAAGATAAATCCTTTCTTTTTCAGGTACTTTATTCTGTATATCAATACTTAGTAAAAAGTTCAACGTCCAGGACAGCGTCATTGGTGGTTTGGCAGGTGTGAGCAGGATAGCTTCATGTTTCGTTTTCGCATTTGCTCCAACCAGACAATGGTATTATGCAGCACCATTGTTCAATATATTCAGCAGCTCCGGCCTAACTGCTGTTAGGTCGATCGCTACGAAGACGGTTCCTAATGAGGAAGTGGGTTAGTTGATTGCTTTGATATTTTAGAATAAGTGTGTAATTACGTATTCTTTAATTAATGAGCAAGAGTTTATTCACAAAAACGGTGTAAAACGCAGTCACGGGTCCCCGTGACCACGGCTGCTGTAAAGCACGTGAAACGTTGGGCCGTAGTTAAAATAATTTCCAAATAAGTTAATACACATCGCGTTTTAAACCGTTAAGGTGTTTTAAAGTATATAACAACAAAGATCATACTTAAATTCTAGCTAACATATTTAAATTTTAGATCGAACTCCCGTCATCTTGGAGTGTGACTATTATATTATATACCACTAGAAACTGTGGAACAAAATCTATTTTAACAAAAAATAATTACAAAAATTAACAAATGGGTATCGAACGTCGAGACGTGGGTTACTAGCATTACACTACTACTATTCGATCCGGAAGCTGCTTCAACGTAAAAATTATTTGCTTTAAAACTAAAAATTCCACTAATTAGTAACAGAAATAAAATATACTTCAATAAAAATATATATCAACTTTTATTGTAATATCAACTGATAATCATTGGTTTACGACAAAAAAGTACTTTCAAAGTAAATTTACTATACTTCGAAAACAAGGAAATAAACTGTGCGGAAAGTAATGAAAGTTGTAGCGTTAGCTTAACCAAACTTCTCAATGGCTTAATATCGGCCTATTGTCCTTGATAGTTTGCAATTGTTTCAGCCAAGCTCAGCTCTATAATCGGGGTGATGGAGGCTTTGGCTCCGTCTATATACATGCCCACGTCGAGTTATATCTACGTTATGACGATACAGTATTTTCCTGGTGCGTTTTACTTGTTCGACGCAGCACTTACCGTTCTGGCTTTGGGCTTATTCACGTAAGTATAATGTTGATTACAAATATTACAATTAATATTATAGCTTTATTGGACAAAAAGCCTTGTATACCTGTCTGTGTACACGTATTGTACAGTTTCTGTGCTTCCGCGTTTTTTCCACGGATTAAACTGAAATCTTCTCGTAGGCTATCAAGTAATAAAAGCTATGAGAATTACAAAAATTTAGTAACTTAAAAATCGATGAGAAAATTAAAAATTATGACTCGGGCAAGACTTGAATTGGCATCCCTAGCGTTCCGTGCTATTGCTCTAACGGAATCCTACACGTCATCGTCGATTTTTCTCAGTCTATTCATACATGCGCTTCTCGTGCACCAATGTCTCGCGAATATAGAGAAAATTACATATTATAACAAAAAGTATTTAAATGAAACTTTTTAACGGTTTAAAACGCGATACATATTAGTTAAGCTTATTTAATTAAAACAGACATCCGTGACCACGGCTGGTGCAAAGCATCCAAAACGTCGGGCTGAAGTCAAAAATAATTTTCAAATAAGTTTAACTAATGTATACCGCATTTTAAACCGTTAAAGTGTTTTATCTTTACTAATGTAACCACCTAAATAGTGTTTTAAAAACATTTTAATTTTTAAACTGCAAACATATTAGTTATTTGAGTATTAATCGTTTAGTGTATTATCTAATATACTCGTTTAAGATAATACAGCTTCGTAACCTTTATTGTACTAGATAAAATAAACCTAGTCAAATTTAATAAAACAATTCGAAGGTGAAGATTTAAATTTTTTAAACAAATTAATTTAATATCACAACTTTTAAACAACACATTTACTTTTAACATTTTTTATCAATCTAATTGAGAAATCTGCAACTAAATTTTATATGGCAGCAATAAACTTTACAGCCTCAACCAGACGAGCATACCTTGTCTTTGAGACGACCTTTTGAATGACAATGTTTGTTTCAATTTATTATTATATGTGTATATGTGTAGACGTATTTTAATCAGATAAAAAGTAAAGAGTGAAATAAAACACTTATAAGAAATATAATAGTTAAAGTTGCCAATACGTGAAATCCCGTACCCCCCCTTATTGTAGAGGAGGACAGACAAACAAATGGTTCACTCTATGGAAGAGAATTCCAGCCATATAACACGATGTACTGTCTATTTTTTGCTGGCTTTGGATATTCGGAAATCCACAGGCTGAAACCGAAATACGTATAACTTTTCAGTTTTTCCAGTTGAAGACGTGACCCGGACGGAATTTCAATTTTCCTTCTACCTAATTAATATCCAGATTTCCAGGCGCAGTTCAACATGTTTGAGGAAAATTATAAGTTTATTACATGTTAGACACGGTGGGAATCGACCCCACGATCTCTTGATTAGCCATTCATTACTACCATTAGGCCAATGAGATCGTAAGCTCGAAAGTAAACAATAAGATGCTTTAATTTTATACTGTCTATAGTTTACGCGAGTAGTACACATTTAAATAAAACACTTTAACGGTTTAAAACGCGATATATTAAACTTATTTGAAAATGATTTTTAACTAATATATCGCGTTTTAAACCGTTAAAGTGTTTTATTTAAATGCTTTATTTTTTTTAGAATTTAACAAATACCTCATTAAAAAGCAACAGATAAGAGAGAAGTAGAAACGTAAGTCACATGTAAAGTTTTAATTAATGCCCCGCGATAAAAGTATTACACAAGAAAAGAAAGTTACAGCTCGCGAAAGTTTTTGGTATCAAAAGTGGCCCTTTGTAAAAATCGACTCGAATTTATGTCACGATAAAAACTTATTTGCATAAATATTTACCGTGTCTTTTTATATTTGATATTGACAAAACATTTATGCAATTTGCACGCAGGAAATACTGACGGTTTGAAACGCGAAATGCACAATAAAATCAACAATGGCCGTAATTTTAATTACTATATATATTCTAACAATAACTAAGAAGTGTTATATTAAATAAGCAAGATAGTAATTTCTTTCTACAAGTTTGCATTGAAGATAGTTATTAACAGTACTTCGCCGCCTGAATTTTTTTGAAGCGTGAAATCGTTTTGTTAAACAAGGATGCGCTGTCGGCCTACTTGGCTTTGGATATTCTGAAATTCACAGACTGAAACCGAAACGCGATTAGCATGACTTTTTCACCCGTATGCGGTTGTTCGTGACCCGGGTGTAATTACCACACATTTAATACCCACACGAAGTCCAACATATGTCAACCAACAATAAATTAAAAAACACGTCGGATATATTGCTGCCATTTGACCAACTGTCTGTACACATTGTCTGTAGTTTACGCGAGTAGTGCACATTTAAATAACACTTTAACGGTTTAAAACGCGATATATTTTAGTTAAACTTTGATCGACGTTTCGGATGCTTTGCAGCAGCCGTGGTCACGTATCGTAGCTAAAAATAATTCTCAAACAAGTTTAACTAAAATATATCGCGTTTTAAACCGTTAAAGTAATTTTTTTAAACGTCTGTATATGTTATATTGGAATTAACGATAATATTTTATTTTACAGGAAAATATATCTACTAGTGAAGAAGCGCGATAAAGTCACAGATCCGAGAAGGAAAGAAGAATTTGCGAGGTCGAATGAAATATCCCGTTTCTGATAGTTATACTTACGTGTATATGACGTACAATTCGTGCAATATGCAAAGTGATATTTAGATAAGTATAGAAGATTGATTTGTTCATATAAATCTGATTAGTATTTGTTCGAAGTTAAAGTGTCATATATATAAGGTCACCAGAATCACTACATAGTATAAAACAAAGTCGCTTCTCTCCTTATGTGCGCCTAAGTCCTTAAAACTACGCAATGGATTCTAATGTTATTTTTTTAATAGAGTGATTCAAGAGGAAGGTTTTTATATACAACGTTCACATTTTTTTTGTAGTGTACAGCATTGCACCCGAGGAAACCGGGGCCGGTCGCTAGTTCAGAATTACAGTTTTACTAAAATCCTTCGTATATTTTACGTAAAGACAGTCTTTATTATTGTTACCATTGTACTGAGCATAGTGTGCTGTTGTGGGTATTTTTACATATATTCTTTTTATATTAAATTTTTAAGCTTAAAAATCATCATAATAATGCTTACAAAGCTTATATTTAAATGCATATAGTCTGTAGTTTACGCAAGTAGTACACATTTAAATAGAATACTTTGACGGTTTAAAACGCGATATATTAGTTAAAATTATTTTAAATACGACCCGAAGTTTTGTACGCTTTGCGGCAGCTGTGGTTACGGGGAGACAGTCTCCCCGTGATCAAGGGCGCTCTATTATATAAAGCGTTTTAAACCGTTAAAGTGTTTAGTTTAAATTTACACACAATACATATATTTGCAATATTAAAAATAAATAATCTAAAATGTTTTCGTCACCTTCTCAATTGATAATGAGTATATTCTTAATAAACTTACTATTACATATATTATATTTCCATTAGTTTATATATTTGTTTCCTTAGTCTTTTCCCCTTTTATCAAAAATTAGTTTTTTTTTTTAATCCACGAGATGGCATCTCGTTTCTAGTACTCAATAGCTTAATTAAATACGAATTGATCTAAATTCACGTTAAATCATATTTGAAATTGTATAAAAAACAACAAAAATCATTTATAAAACAAAAAAAGAATATTTAACGAAATTATGACAATATAAATACATGTATGATTTACTTCATCTATTTGACTAATAAAATTACCCTTCCTTTCTTATTTCAATAGTTCAAACTAGAAATTGTAATTAAATATCTTGTTACATCAAAAATAATACAAATAGTCAGATAGTATAATTTGTTATATAATTTAAGTTTTAGAAGAGAATATAAATAATATTAGAAATGTATTGCTTTCATTAATTATAATGATTTTAAGTATTGCTCAATCTTATCTGAAAGAAATATCATGGAGAACGTAAATAAGTTTAAATCACAAGTTTGTCCTAGTCATTAAGCAACAATTATTGTAAGTTAAGCTAATTAAAAAACGAATGATTAAACATGATATGCAAAAAACTGTTTGAACTTTTCTTAATACACATATCAAATATTGATTCTGGGAGAGGGGGGGGGGGGATTTAAGAGCCTACCATGCTGCTCCAGAGCTAGTTGGTGGGCCATAATGACTTATACAAATTTACTGATGATAACTGTCTTTAACGTTTTCACATGCCCTCAAAAGCATGAGTTGATGATAACTTCTATTTTAAAACACCGAACAAATTTGAATAAAACACTTTAACGGTTTAGAACGCGATATATGTTATAAACTTATTTGAAAATTGTTTTAACTAGGGCCGAGGTTTCAGATGCACGGGGAGCTAATATATATCGCGTTTTAAACCGTTAAAGTGTTTTATTTAAATTTGTAATATTCGCATAAACTACATACAATATACCGAAAACACTTATGAGACTTGGAACCCTGGATACCTCACTGAACCCTGGCTTTCGAGATATTCATTTGAGTGCCGTGATCATAAGACCAGATGTGCTTTAAATTAAATGACACAAAATAGGTCAATGTATTGAGACAAACATACCTTACTAAGTGACACGTGTATAACTAAATAAATAATTTTGTATGATAAAAGAATTGGAAACGTGTACATTATGACGATAATAAAGTTTCATGGTTAAATAATTTGAATACATTATCATGTATTTAAAATTCACGCCTTATTACCTACGCCACAAAACGTTGAACTCAGTTGAATAATTAATAACGAGACAACCTTATTTTATAATAGAATAAATTAATTATATATATGCCGTTTTAAACGGGTTTAAACGCGAATTATATTAATAAAGATGGCAGTATATATATTGTGTTCCACAGCTTAAACTAAAGATACAATTTACGTAAGTGATTGCCAATTGAGTGAGTTCGTAAATAATCTTTGTTCGTGATATGCAAGTGTAGTTATATATATATATAACTACACTTGCATATTGCATTGCATAAAGAAGAAAAACTATTATTTTCAAACTATATTTTTCAATCTATTCGACACTCATATATAAAATAACACAGGTATGTATAATTTCTAGTTAGAACAATTAAGATGATCCGTACTATATAGCCATTATCAATGCAAAAATTTAGCCTTAACCAAGTTGTCACTTAAGTCGTTCGTTATCATTTTGCATGTGGCGAAGGTCTATACAAATTCCGAAAGTCCAAAGCCAAAAAAGGTCGACAACACATCATCTTTAAATGTTATTTGGCTGGAGTATTTCACCCTTAACCAATTTAACTCCATGCTTATCTGTCATACAGTTCCAGATTTTTAATTAAAGTATCTAAATGAATACCTACATACACATGTATATATTTTCAAATAACTGACCAGAGGGATAACGTATTAGCAAGTCATAAAGCAGTAGAAGCGAAAAAGACCCTTTCACGTAATCAATGTTTGAGTACCCTTCCATTTAATATTGCCGGCGCCTAAAGATGTTACATTTAACTTCTGTATATTCAAACGTGCGGAAAATTCAGCTGTGTGTCGTACGTGACCCCGATTCTGGTAATTCACGGACAGTGAGAGGCAAGCGAGAGACAACTGATCAGTACTTTTATTTGTCTTTTATCCTAATTATTGCATACTTTACGTGTTGTACTTACTATAGTCTAAGACTTGACTTATTTTAAAATAACCTTGGCGACAGAAAATGCGAGCGATATTATTGCTTTTTTTTTCATTCCAACGGCCGTAATTTAAGTACAGGTAGTAAATAATTAATATATATTACAAGGGGCGTCGTTGAATTGCTTTAATATAAGTGTACTGTTAGTACATCAATGAATGACTTTTAATTCGGTTTTTTAACAGGCCATATATAAGTCCAACGATAGACTAAAGATAGAGACTAGGTGCAGATGGAGTGTCCCTAGTCTCCAAACTAGGGCAAGTCTGTATCGTGGATGACTAGTCTCTTCGAAGTTTTCAGTCAGTGACCCATCTATATGTATCTATTAGTTTAGAAGAATTTAAAACCATACAAGCCTGGGTAGTGAAAGGCGATCGAAAGGCAAGTGTAAATAGCAGAATCGCGCATATGAGGCACTGAAGAGATTGGAAATTTCGTTTCCCTTCAATTTGGCAGGTCCATTAGCACCCTTTGCTCCACTTTACCTATGCCGCTATGACAGGATATAGGCTAAATATTGTTACTTTGCACAACGTTATTCGTGAATATTTAATATTAACTCCCTCGTTCCTGCTTCCTTACATGGGATGTGTGTTGAGAAATTGGAAGCAAATTTTATCAATATTAAGAGTCTCCCGTCTTGCCATTGTAGCTAAATGGTTAAACGTGTCTAATATAAGGTTAAGCTCGGGAGTGCCTAGGTTCAAATCCCGAGGAAACAAAACTTTGTTTCAGTCAGGCATGGCACTGGAGTTTGATTAGTTGCAATGCCTTTAAATATAATTTTGTAGGAAAAAACAACAAACAAATTATAGCATCTTTAGTATTCTACCAGTAGAACAAATATTTTTGACGTAATATAGACAGCATTAACATTTGTCATCAACATAAAACTCACAAAGTATGCCGTTATATTAGTTTGATCAAAATATATTCATAAGGTCTGTAACTAAGTCAAAAATAAACAATAATAAATATAATCAGTCGTATTTCTATATCGTTTATAAAATTAAATGCTATCTTTCGATTAATAAAAAAAAACAAATGCCTGATAATATATTAAAAGCAAAGTATTCTATATTACACACCTCGTTCAACACGGTAACAAAATGTAAATTAAAAATCTATTCCGATTAAAAAAGTCCCGCCTGCAACGGGATTTTTCAGTCTAAATAGTAAATCATGTGCAATATAATAAGATGTGAAAAAATATTAAAGTTTTTTTGTAGTTCAAGAAAGTAATAAATTAATAAAACCACTACAACGGTTTAAAATGCGAAATATATGGGTGATATTTTTTTTACAGCTCATCGTTTTAGGTATTTTGTAAGTCATCATTTGAAACCGTTATAAATATTATTATAATGACATCTTTAGTTAACATATAGCTATAAATTAAAGATAAAAAAAAACTACGACACAGGCGGAACTTCACACCGGCACAACGTACCGTGGTGTAGCTGGTAATTGTAAATAAAACGTTTTAAATCATGTTAACAGAATTTTGATTCTTTTTAAAACATCCCGACACCTTTCATACGGTTTGATGGACGTACGTTAATCTGATTTCATAACAAAATAAAAGATCTCATTATTCATCGGATCTATTGAATAAGTTTTACACAGATCTGTTTGGTTTCGTATATCGGTTCGCTTCGTTAAGTCATATTAGATGTATGAGTGTTAGTAAAATAGGATTTCCTAATTTATAAACTAAACGCTGTATAGGATAAATCATTTTGTAAGCGAGCCAAGAAAGTGATCGGACTATATATGGAGTACAGTTTAGATTTTGATGAGTATAACTTTTAATTGAATTGGGCATTGTCTCCTGAGGTTGGAACATAGTGGATATACAGTAGCTGTTGATGCAATCCTGTCAATAATTCAGTTACAGCAACGGATATCGATTCTCCGCCTCCCAGGGCAACTAGCCTACATCACAGT